TATTTTTTATTTTATTAATTTACTAATTAAATTATTTTATAATTAATTTGTTTACTTTTTATCTAGGGCCGAAGAAGAAAGGTCAAGCAGAATGAGAGAAGAAACTATCACGTTACGAGAAGAATTGAACAAACTTTATTTATCTCGGGATTTACTTGAACAGCAACGTATTGAATCTGACGGTTTATTAACATTGCTGGAAAAACAAAAAATGGATTTAGAGTTTGAAGTTGAAAAGCTTAATAACGAAAAACACGATCTGAACAACAATCTCGAAAAGAAATGCAATTCTGGAGATAACCTTGAAGTTGAAATAAAAGAATTGCGAGCAAACATTTTGCAATTAGAAGACGAGAAAGGAAAACTTCAAGGATTATCAGCAGAACAGAGCAATGATATTGTGTCATTGAAAAAGGAACTTTTAGTCGCTGAACAATCGCGTTTAGATTTGGAATCTGAAAAACTTTCAATCAGTGAAAAGTTGAAAATCATTGAAATTGAAAAGGAAAAAGTTGAACAAGATTTGAGTGCAGTTTCACGAGAACGTGGAGATTTATCTAATCAAGTTACTTCATTGACACGCAAGAAGGAAGCAATGGGTGAAGAGATCTTAAGAACCAGACAACGTCTTGAGCAAGCAAATGAAATGAATGCAAGATTGAATCGAAATCTTGAAGAATTAGTCAAAGAAGGTGACGAAAAATGTATTTTAATTGAAGCTCAAGAGAAAGATTTGCAACGTCTTCAAGAACAACTCGCTGCATTGAGAAGTGAAAAAGAATCTCTTGAAGCCGTTCTATTTGATACAAATACCACTTTGGAAGCAACAGAAATTAAAAAAGATCAACTTGAACATGAATTCCAAGAGTTACTTGTAAAACAAGAAAATTTGAAGAATCAAGTTGCGCGAATGAACAAAGATTTGGAGACTTCTCAAAGACGAGCTCAAGAAATGAAAACACAACTGACAAATGCTGCTGCTACTCAAGAAGCTGACTTCTTGCATAAAATCGCACATTTAAAAGATTGTAATGAAGAAAACATTAAAAAATTAAATGAAGAAAAAGAACAAATCAGAATGGCTTTGGAGAAGCGAATGAATCAAACACTTCAAGCACTTGAAGCGAATAAAGACGCTGAAATTCACATGTTAAAAGAACAGTTTGAAGGCTTACAAATGCATTTAGATTCGACTGTTCAACAGCATGAAGAAGTTCTTATAAGAGCAGAAAATGACAAGCAACAAGCCCTGATGCTTGCACATCGTGACAAACAAGCAGTCATTGAAAAGCTTGAAGCAGTTTCACGTGAACTTAAGAACGAGGCGGAAAATTGCGAGAGAATGAAGCGTGAATTCACAAGTCGCATTGAAAAAGATCGAAATGTGATTGCGGCTTTGCGTGAAGACATTACCAAAGTCAAAAGTAAGCTTGAAGAGAATCGAATTAGAGCTGAAGAAGAACAAAATAAATTCGAGTTACAAATTTCTGCTATAAAAGAAGAACGTGAAAATTCATTACGTGAAGTTGAAGAATTGAAAGTTCAATTGCGACTTTCAGAAGACAAAGTTGATGCTTATAATCATGAACTTTCTGACACTATGCGAAAATTGCGAGAATCTGAAAACAACTCAGAAGTTCAACGTAAAGAATTGACAGACACACGTCGATATCTTGCTGACAGTAACATTGAAAAAGAAAAATATGCCACGTCAAACAAGGAGCTTCGAGATCATATCAAAAGAGTCGAGGTGCAACGTCGAGAACAGTCACGATCAATCGAAGACGCTTTGCAGAAAATAACTTCACTCGAAGAGACAAGAAATACTTTGGAGAATGACAAAGTACGCTTGTCGACTATATTAAAGGAAACAGAGAACAACGTCACAAAAATAACTCAAGAATTAGGAGCTGCAACTAATAACATTCAAAAACTTCAGACAAATGCTTCTCAAAAGGATAACCAAGAGAAAGAATTGCAAGGGCGATTGAATAATGAAATTGAAGAGAAAGAACGAATCTTACAAGAATTGCACAATTTGAAGAAACAAGTTTGTGATTTGGATCAAAATTTGCATGCTACGAGACAAGAACTTGGTCGCGCTCGTTGCAAAGCGAATCAAGACGATGGTCGCTTCCATTGTCGTGAACAAGAACTCATTGGACGCATTGAAGAAGGTCGAGGAAGAGAAAAACGTTTGGAAGATCAAAAGCATAATCTTGAAGTGTGTTTAGCAGATGCAACTCAACAAATTCAAGAGTTGAAAGCAAGACTTGGTGGTGCTGAGGGTAAAGTTCGGTAAGAAAATTAATTTCTAGCATTTTATTTTTTTCTTATATTAATTAAATTAATTATTTTAAAATAAAGTGCTTTAGATGATCAACTCATGCATTCAGAAGCTTGCAAGAAAGATGCTGAAATTAAGCTTAGTTCAATTGGTCATACATTGCGGCGAATCGCTGGTGTACAACTTGACGGATCTGTAAGCATGCCATACCGATTATTAAGCCCATCAAGACGTTACAGCCCAGCTCGTGGATGTCAAGCAGACTTCCATGAAAGCCGTAGCTTATCTGGTGACAATCTCATCGTAGACGTTGATCCCGAACTTGTCCGAAAAGGAGTTCGAACATTAATGCATCAAGTAGCTCAAATTGAACGAGAACGTGTAAGTTAAACTACCTTAAAATTGTTGAATTTTTAGTAAATAAATTTTCCATTATAAAGGATGATTTCAAAACACAACTTTGCACTGCTAAAAAGCAGATTCAAGAAGCTGGTGAAGTCAACTGCCGTAACGAAAGCAAAATATGTAAAATGCAGCAAAATTTACGAGCAGTTCAAGAAGAGAAAGCTTGCGTTGAATCACAATTGAAGCAAAAAACTAATGCACTATGTGCATGTGAAGAAGCTCTTAAGGGTAAAACGGAAGAGTTAAATATGCTACGTGAGAAGAATGCGTCGCTTGAAATGTCTCTTGGAAGTTTATGCGAAGAGAAAACTCAATGTGAAGAGCGTCTGGATAAGTGTCGTCAGTCTGTTGCTCGATTGGAGTCAGAAAAACGACATTTACAAGATGAATTATCACGTGCAGAAGGAAGAGCTTCCAAATTAGATCTCCAAAGAGTTGCTTTGGAAGGTGACATTCAACGTCTTCAAATGGCATTGCAAGAGAAAGATTGTGCATTGAAAAATGTTACTGAACGATGGGAACAAGCAAACAAATCGTCAGCTCAATTGGAAGACCGCTGTGTTGCTCTAAAGACAACAATTGACCAGTTAAAAGATCGCGTGCAAGCTGCAGCAATTACTGAAACTGAAATGAAAGCTGAAATTAATTGTTTGAACAAAGAGCGAGCTGATCAAAATCAGCATTTGATTATCCATCAAGATAAGATTAAACATATTCAGAAGACATTAACAAATAGTGAAAATGAACGTCGTGTGCTTGCTGAACGTTTGGAACAATCCCAAAATTCTGTCAATGAACTACGTCGTTCACAACAATCTAATCAGGATAACATGCAACGATTACAAGAACAATTAGCTGAGATGGAAGTTGCTAAATCTTCACTCGAATCTCAATTGAGAATCGTTAAGTGGAATCAAGAAAATCCTGATGCATCTGGTGGTGGTGGTGGGGGTGGAATGGGTGACAAAGGGAATGAATACGACGGCCGTGAAAAATCTGAAATGCGAAGAAAAATTGATACACTCAATGAGAAAGTTCGTTTGCTTGAACATGAGAAACGTTATGGGGGTGGCGTAAGTGGATCTGTAGGCGCAACAAGTGGAAGCAAATTTTCTGGTCACGTACAATTCGACCGCGCTGAGAAATATGAGAGTCACGGTGAATATGATTCTAACCGAATGGAAACAGATCGTTTCCCATGTGGGTTGGATCACGTCCAGATTGAAAACGAGTGCCGTGATTTGCGAATGAAAGTGAGACGTTTGGAAACTCTGTTGGCGGAAAAAGAAGCTGAATTGGCAAGAGCAAAAGCCAAATTTTCAGAAGCACCAAAGTGTTCAACCAACGACGCTGAGAGATATCGACATGCTCAACTTCAAGCCGAAAGATTATTGGATGCAAGAGAAAATTCTCACAAACAGCAAATATTGAGGCTTGAAAATCAAATTTCAATGTTGCGGGAACAATTGGCGCAAGAAGCTAAGCGTAGACAACTCTACATACTTCGCAGCTCTAGGGCGGGACGCGAAGCACAACAATTGAGGTAAATATTTAAATAAATTTTATGTTCATTGTTTTTTATGCTTCTTTTGTTTTTGTTTCAAGACAAACTCTTGGCGATTCTTTGCGTAATGTGGCACAAGAACCTATCGATCCAGTTTTATTAGAAAACGAAACTAGAAGGTAAAAAGAATTATTGAGATTATTAAGTAGAGTAGTTTTCAAGAATATCTTTCACAGACTCGATAATGCAGCCACAATGACTCATAGTTTACCCCCGTGTTATGATAGAAGCAGTCCCACTGGATTTCGTTAGATCGAAATCTTTACTCAAGGAAGTTAGAGAAGAATGTGCAACTGAATGATAGTCGTAAAATTAGATTTTGCCTTTAATGCAAGAAGTAATTGATTCAAATGGAAATCAAATCAGAAATTAGAGAAAGCAATGGAAACAAAAATAAAACTGCCTCAAAAAAACTTTTAAAATTTAAATGCAAATCTTTCTTCACTATTGATTATCTAATCATTTCAAATGTTTGAGAAATAAAGAAAATGCAAAATAATAAAAAATTGACAAAGATTAATGTTTTAGAAACATTTTAAATTATTCTGAATGCTTGTAAGGATGAAGTGGCTTTTATTCGAAGCCACCCACTTGTGGATTTTTTATTTTCATTGAAGAAATAGTTGGAATGTTTTCATGCAATGTTTTAATGTTTTGTGATGTTTTTCGTTAAATTTCCAATGAGAGGAGAGAAGATGAAACTAAAGAGAGTGAAAAATCGCCTTCAAGTCTTCAAGTATCCTTACATGATGTGTCTGGTCTTCGCTAACGTCACTTCATGTTATGTATGTTGCATATTGATTGGAATGTTCATATATGTAATTCCTTCGTAAATTATAAATTTTTGTTCTATATTTTCATAACAAATTTTAAAAATGAAAATTTTAATATTTGCACGCAAACTGAATTAAAACCGCACATTCATATCGTTGAAATTTATCCCACATGCTACAACAAAACTTCCCAGCATTAACACTCAAATAAAATTTCCTATCTAGCTTTTATTCATTGTTTATTTTACGTTGATCCTAAACATATGATATGAAACCATTCAAAGATATTTGAAATAATTAAAACAACTGAAGCATGAACTGCCATAAAAAGCTTTTCATTTTTAGAGCGAATGACGATGAAACCACATGGCAATTTTGAGAGGAAAGTAAAAAACACTTAACAGAATAAAATCAATCAAAACTTTTCTGCGTTATTGATATCACATGATGTAACATTTGTTCAAACAATATTCCATTTAGCGCAGATATACAATCATGATTGAACGACAAATGTACACATCATGAGAGAAAACACATTTTTAATTGTCATTGAACAAACACATGTGATGATATAGTTGAGGAAATATCATGACTGCACACATATATTTATTATAAATTTAATAATAAATTTAATTTATGCATGTCATTGAATATGTGTTGGGTGGAAGTAAGGAATGATGTACATTATGTGAGTTTAATATGTTTTGTAAAATGATGGAAATTAATGTGTTTTTGGCTGAAGTGAGCTCTTTGTTGTGTTTTTCTTATCAAATATGAAGCCATGTAGATAAAATAAGCTTATTGACATTCAACATTTCTGTCAAGCAAAATATTTCAACATGTGCTTTTGATATCCATTTTCTTTCAATAACACGGAAGCTTAAAGAATTTCTCATTCATATTTTATTATCAGAATTTTCTTCCTTGAAGCACTAAAGAAAACAGGAAGCTGAAAGAGAAAATGGCAAGAAGCCAGAGAAGAAAACTTTCATAATTATTCACCATTAGATATCTCTATTCACATATTTACACATAATTTAATACCGAAGCATAGCATATTGTCTAGTCTAAGTAGAAATTTTAAAGTCACATTTATTTCTTATGGAAACATTTCGAAATTTTAGGAAACTTCTACTGCCAGGTGTTGCACAGTATTATCGTGCCAAAGAAATCTATTTCATTAAATTTGGACAGATACAAGTGGAAAAGCAGGAAAATATTCCAATTAACCCATAAAATTTACGAATTAGCTTTTCATGTTTCCCAGTCATTAATAATAAAAACAGTTTCTGTGACATGCATAAACAAAATCGTTTTTTCAAGGAAATGAAAAGTTAATCAAACTTCAAGATAAAATTTTATTCCTTGTTAAGAATCCCCTCTTTAAGAAAAAACATTCTGTGAGAACCTTAAATAGCAATCATTTATTTATTTATACAAGCTTTAATACAAGGATAAATTTATTTGAAATAATCTGTCGATGTTTCGTTAAGATTTCATATCTACTTAAACTGAATTTTCAATTAGCTTTGCTTTAGAAAAAAAAAATCAGGAAGCTTGAGACCATAAAACGAAGCAAATAAATTTCGTCCTCCGGCTTCAACTCAGTTCAATCCTTGAATTCTTATTGCTTGTGGTTTCATTGTGAACAATTTATTTATTATTGCCATAGAAATTGAAGTCGAACCAATTTAAACTCAACTGCAATATTTTAACAATTCCCTTTCGAGATATTTGTTATAACTTGCTCGAAAATATTTATCTTTAGATTCTTGTCTTCATTTCAATTTTATTGGAAATAAAAATATTTTCAGTCGAATGACTTACAAAAGGAACGATGATAATTTAAACTTGACACAATTTGTGATTTGAAAAAAACGTTTTAGCGACCATGGAAACGAATAAAAATAATTGGAAGTAAATTTATAGTTGAGGGCACTTTCGAAATCGTTGAGTGCATGAATTGCTTTTCAAACGATTTTCCTTTTCTCCTTTCTTCTTCTTTTAGCGTCTACAAACTGCATTTTCTTTATATAAAATAAAATGAAATTGTTTGTTAAAATTTTCTATGCGAAGCTCATGAAAAGTTCGAAGTAAATTTCCATTTTAATTTTATTTTTGATTTTCAACAGAATTTTAATATATTTAAGTATCAAGACGTCTACTAAGGGAAAATTACATTCATATTTCTACGGAAAAAAGTTGAGTGTCTTTCGTTGAAAGAACTATCAAAATTAAAGCCGGAAGAGTGAATAAATAACAAGTAATTATTTAAATGCGATTCATAAAGATCGTAAATAAGAGAAAGATTTCTTGAAGCGTTCATAATCAAAACCTCAAAGAGTGTGCGTTTGTTTTTCTTCTAAAACAGCATCTTAAGGGCAGAGAAATGTAATTGAAAACAGAGATGATGAAAAGCATACTTCAGCTATTGAAAAATCTTGTTCCACCCATCATCAACCTCTTACTATAACAGTTCGTTCGGCGCCGTCATCAACACTGCTTGAAAATGAATAGGCGACAAATTTAATTACCGATTCGAGACGATCTGAAGCCATCGCCTGATAAAAAGCTAATGAGCCATCAAAATTTAATTTGATTAATTCTTTGAGTGGAGAATAATGGTGAATAATTGTACTTAAGAAAAGCATTTAGAGGAATCTAAATGAGCACGAAATAGACGAAAATCATAACTTTTCGTTCGCTCTCTTCGCCGTTTTCTTTTCAACTTCACCGCATTTATGTGTCAGTCAAGTCAATTCATTCACTGGATGAATGGAGAAGAAGAATAAAGGCACAACCCAAATCACTTATTCATGTTGATGTTAAGCCTCCCGGTGCAGAACTTTCACTTTAATATTAATCTGATTGTGTTGCGAGTGAATTTAGGAAAATTTATTTCAACCGAAAATCCCTCGGAAAAACGGTAAATTTTCACCTTATTTTACGCTGTCTACACTCGCTTGAGATTCAATCTGAAAAGATAAATTCACATCGAATCCCACACCCACATCCGTAACGTTTCTGCAGCCGTTATCGGTTTATTTTACATGACTGGTTATTTGGTTTCTTTCCTTTTGGTATTTTCATGCGTTCTCATCATATTTATTGATCAAGAATAATGTAAGAGAAATGAGAAAAAAAAAACTTGTTTCTACATAAATGGATTTTCTACTTTCTCTCATCAACGAAGGGAAAATACCTTTTTTCTTTCCTTTGACTATCTGCAAGCATAACATGAAAAAATCTAATCCGCATTCTACATTTTCCAATTCTTAACAATGAATGTATAGAAATTTTTTCAAATTTGTTTTTTTTTTCTGTGTTCAATGGGGAAAGGTAACTTCATAATATATTTATGTATGAATGGAAAATATTCTATAAATGCTTTTTAAAAAGATTTATAATGTAAGCTTATAGAACGACTCGTTATAATTTACAGTTGAAACCCGTTTATTATATGAATTTATATCTGAGATTATTTCAGATGTGAAGATCTTAAACTCCTGCCATGATGGAAAATTCAATATTATGATGACTCATGCAATTACTTAAGTACATTTGACTTCAAAGGTTTCATACTGAAATTCATCTGGTAGCTTTTCTCATCAACCTCATAAATATTTTCACAGTCACCCTCACATCGTAAAAGATGCATTTACAGTTGTTTTATAAATTATGCATAGATTACTTTGCCTTCTTTATAATACTCATTTTTAACATGAAAGCTTGTATGAAAGCGTGATAGGAAACGATGAATTGAAAAGGAATGAAACCAGATTGATGAATTTTTAACGGAAAATTTTAGTCTAGCAAATGAATGGAGCGACTCGTCTCTAGAGAATCCTCACAATTTTCGTTTGATGTTTTGAAAAGGAAAGTGGAAACGATGTCCAATTTCATACATGATGTTACATAAATCACAAATAATCCCCTTTTGCTGGAACGATATTTGATTTGAAGTGAATTCCACTGCAACAGTTTAGGTGAAGGAAGAGGCGAAGTCAGAGTAAAATGTTAAATTAGTTATTCTGACATTGCTTCTCGTATCTGAATGCAGAAAGTTTCATTTTTAAACAGATGAAAAAGTAATTAAAGAAGTTTCTCATTGTCAAGTGAAATAAATTTTGTCAGAAAACATTCCTGAACAGTAAAAAAAATCACTAGACAGAATAAATATTCATGTCGAAGGATAATTATGAACGAAAATTCCCCTCAGTTATCAAAAGAAAAGTTTTAATATTCCGTTTAAAACTTTTTCCTCAAAGAATTGATTTCTTGTGCATTGGCAGTGTAAGTATAGTTGAAATATATATGAAACGACCTGGAAACTTACGTTGGGATTAATTAAACATAATAATTTGAAAAACGATCAGAACAGCAACTCATCAATTAAATATTTTTGTAATACAAAAGACTTCAATTAACTTATCATTTGCTAAAGTCATGCAAGTGTCTACCAGGGTGTGTAATTATTTGTACAGTGGAACTTCGATAAACAGATGGCTGAAGGTGCATCAGTTAATCGAGGCAATTTTTCATACAAATTCGATTCAAGGGGACAAAAAAATATCTGTTTATCAAGGTTTAACTGTTTATCGAAGTAGCTGTTTATCGAAGTTCCACTGTATATGTGCTGAATTTTAAATTCAAATTTATTCAAATCCTTCATACATTTATTCAATTATTTGATTCCCATTAAATCAAAGGAGACCTTTGACAATTGATGGAGAGAATGTTCAATACAATTTAAAGCAGAAACTGTTTCAATACATGGATGATCGTTAATGTTATCTTTGATAAAATTGAAACATTTAATAACGTTTTGAGTAGCTGATTTACTAGCCGTTGCTGAACAATTTGGAATTTCGATTGTTTTATTTTGAACACCTTTCAAATGTTCTTTTGTTGGATAATCACAAACACATGCTTCACAATCACATTTGAAAGCATAAGTTAAGAACAGCGAGTCTTGTCGCTCCTTCCTCGACTTAAAGTAAAATTCTCCTCGATAAGCAACAAATAATTGCTGACCTGATAAAACTGGTTTCTGAACAATGAAAACAAGCTTGTTATCAACACACACTCTCATCACATTTGGATCACAACTATGATTAAAAAGCGAAGCAAATGGAAACACTCCACCTCCGAATTTTGCATCATAATTCCATCGAATCATATTAAGCTCGATATTATAACTTCTAACATGTTCCTTCATTGCGTATGAATTTGATGTGTAAATTTTAGCCAACTTCAAAAATATTTTAAGCAACGTTTTGTGTTCATTTCGAATGTTCCATTGCTTGTTGATAGAATCAAAAATTGGCATCGAAAATAAAGCTTTGAATTGATTTTCAGTCATGGTGTTTGAGTCACAAATTGATGTACTTAATGAAAGAATCGCAATGAGAAGATTCTTCAAATAATCTGACTTGTGAGAACATAAATCAAAATCAAAAATAGTCTTCTTTGCACTCTTTACAAACATTTCTTCAAGCATCTCAACACTTCCAGCTATTTCAATCGCTCGAATTAAAATCTCAATTAAAAGAAAAGCATTTGCTGATGAAAGATTTTTTATATTACAAGTGAATGTGTGATGAAGTTTCGCTTCCATTTTACAGACATTCGAGCAGTACATTGCTGAAATGAAGTGATTTATAAATAAATTAATAAATCTTTAGTCGACATGAAACTTACTTGAAATGCAATTCTCGCAAGCAATTAAGCTGAGCTTGTTGGTTTTCATACAATGATGACAGCGATTATAACACTCAACGTTATCAAAATGCTTGAAAAATGGTTCCTCGATTGCAACAATATCACCAGGATGAAGATCAAGAGACGTCACAATGTGACGTCCAAACTTTTCATTCTCCTTTAGCTTTAAGCAATCAACAATAAAAGGAATTTTATCATTTGGTGGATGGCTAAGCTTAAAGAAGTTCCATGGATCTTCGTTTCCTTTATTAGCAAATAAATCATGATTTATTTCGTTCATTTTTGCTTTGCAAACTTTCTCTCGCTCTTCAAGTTTAATTAACTTTTTAATCGGGTATTTGGTTTGACGTGCCAAATAAATATTTTCTAAACATTTCTCATAATTTTCAGTTTTCATATAAACAACCGAACGATTTCCAAATGCAAGAGAAATTTCCTCTGATCCTGGTAATGCATAACAAATGCTTTTATTATATAAAATAAGTGAACCATATAAATCTCCAGCTTTGTAATGATTATTTCCTTGTTGTCGAAGCTCATCTGCGTGTTTATTACTTTTAATTAAACTCATCTCACAATCTTTCTTATATTTATTTTATTATTCTTCAAATTTCTGTGGATATTCACTGGAAAACGAACCGTGCCGTTCTATTTCGGTATCGAAAAATGAATAAAAAAATATCACGCTACTAGTATGCAGGCTAATTATGAATAACAATATCCATCCAAAAAATAAACGATATAAAAAAATGTTGGGAGCTGAAATGTCGCTAACAAAATCGTGCAAGTAAAATTAGCTTTTTCTTCTTTTTGTGGTTGTTTATCATTTATATTTTTATTTCATTTCATACCGACTTGTTAAAGCACTTGCGCGTTACTTATGATCATATTTATACTCATATAGATATTTATATTCAAATTTCATGCATTCAAAAGGTGTGATAAAATTATCATGACTTTCAGAAAAAAGAATATCAACAAACAATTTTGTTTTTCTAGAAACATTGCTAGGTTTTATAACAAACACCTTCGAATGAAGTTTTTCAAGCCCAAACTAAATTTTCAAGGATCTCAAAGGTGGAAAAGCAGTAAAGTATCAATAATTTATTTTATCGAATAATTAAACATTCAAAACAAATTCAAAATGTCTCAAACTATCACTCGAAGAATACTTATTCATTTGAAATATTAAAATCTAAATTATACGAAATAATTCTAATGCTTAAAATACAAAACTAAAACTAGAAATAGAAAAGCATTTCATAATGATTTATGATCTTTGCAAAACTTTACAAAATTTATGTTCAACAATTAAGAATATTTACCAATTTATTGAAATTCTAATTTCATATCTATTTGCTTACAGTTAGTTGAAAATTTATTAGATAAATATTTGTCTAACGAATTTCATTATAACAAAGTTCAACTACTTCATTAATTATGCTCAAAGACCTTTATCATCGAATGAGAGTTTTGCTATTTGTGGTAATGAATATTCGATTGAGCACATCATTGCAACTGTTTCAAAGCTTGGATGATTCTTCACAAATTGCGCTATATAATTACAACTTTTCTTAAATTCGTTCTTAGCTACTTTAACAGACATTGGATGAGGTTTCGAAAATATAAAATTCGGATCAAATCTTATTAAATTTTCCATTTGAGGAAAATTCTTAAAGCAAGCTTCACAGTCACAATTGAATCTGTAATGTTGCTTCAAATAACTTTGACGTTCTTCCCGTGAATCAGTACTAAATTCAGGTCCATAACTGACAAATATTTGTTCCCCAGATGAGACTGGCTTTATCATGACAAACACAAGCTTATTATCAACAGTTATTCGACTAGCATTCGGATCACAACTGTGACTGAAAAGTGAGGCAAACGGAAAAATTCCACCGCCAATTTCTTTATTAACATTCCATGTTGTACAACCTGACTTCGGATCAAACTCCCGAGTATGTTCTTTCATTTCGTACGAGTTCGTGTTGTAAATGCTGGAAAACTCGTGAACTTGCTTGTTAATAAACTCATGTTCGCCGTCAATTTTCCATCTTTCGTTAAATCTTTGAAACTGTAAACATTCAAGCAAACCTTTTAAAACTTCAACTTCTTCCTTACTCGGACTTGTATCAACATGATTCATTGAAGCGAAAACTTTCAAAAGGTTTTCGCCATGAGATAAATCTTGTCTTCGCCAATCAAAATCAAAAACTGTTTGACTTGCTCCAACTTTTAAAAGTTCTTTCAACTTTTCGGCACTTCCAGCAATTTGAACTGCTTGTAAAACCATTTTCAATGGCGCTATTCCGCTTCTTTCAATAGTTTGTAAGTGGCATTGAAGGAAATGAAGTAATTCATCGTTTTTCTGACACTTTGAAGAGCAATACATCGCTTGGGATAAAATTTATTAACTTAATGTTTTAATGAACTTTATGTTTACACAACTTACTTGTTGAACAAATTTCACATGCAATCAGGTTCAATTTATTTGTTTTCAAGCAGTTGGCACATCGAGTGTAGCAATTCATATCGTCAAGTTTCTTTAGAAATGGCTCTTCAATCAATATTATGTCTCCAGGTTTCAAATCTTCAGTTGTAATTACGTGGCGACCATATTTGTCATCAAATTTACATTTCAAACAGTTTACAACGTACGGAATTTTCTCGTTAGCAGTTAATGAAAGTTTAAAGAAACTTAAAGGATCATCAGCGAGTATTCTCAACGTTTGGTTTATTAAATTTTTGCAGTTCTTTTCACGTTCATTCAATTTAATCACTTTATTCATAGGATATCCATTTTCTTTAGCTAATCGAATGTTTTCGACACATTCATCGAACATTTTCACTTCGATATACACTGCAGAACGGTTCGCGTATGCAAGCGACAGTTGCTCCATATTCTGTGCGTGACAAAGGCTCTTATTATATAAAACGAGAGCTCCATAGAAATCTTTAACACGAAAATGAATGTTGCCTTCATTGCGATATTTCTCTGCTAATTCTTTGCTTTTCAATTCAGACATTTGAATACTTTCCGCAACTTCAGCCATACAAATTTTATTAAGTTTCAAGCACAACGAACAGAACACGCGCTTTAATTAGCTTCTTCGATGAAACTAAATTTAATTTTCGTTCTCGACTAATCAACTCTTAAGAAAATGGTTTCGTGAATAATGGAAATTGCGTGAGAATAGCTTAAGTGAAGAAACGAGTTAGTTAGTTAGTTAGTTTCTATGCTACAAGTTTTCAACTTATTTACTGTCATTAAAAAAGCTTTCTCTACTATGCAAGGCATTATCATTCTATGTAAGCAGATAATGCGTAACAAATTGAGTTTACGCTACAATCATTCTAAGCATACCTGGAAACATTAAATTTATTCTCATCGTGTCAACTTCTGCGAATGTTCTCTCGAAAATATAATTTTGTAATAATTTTTTTATTGTTGTCAAACTCATGAATATTTATCTGTTGTTAGTTGTTATGACAAATTCATTTTGAATCAAATTTTCCTCAATTTAGACGTCATTAATATCAATGACAACAGTTAACATTTATAGCTATCGCATTTTGGTTAAACATGGAACAATTACCATTCAATGAAATATTTTCCTGAAGTTGGGCTTATTGAGTTTGTACAGAAGGCAGCTCAACGTCAGTTCTAATCATTTGTTTCTTCCACCAATTAATGTTAATTATTCTGCAAAGTTATTGTAATTTAATAGCTAATTAAACGAGTTTAAAGACTTGAACATGACAACATCATCTAAACTTTTATTTATTGAACTTGAAACAAGGTAGCAAACTGTTTCATTTCAAATTTTGATACATATCATCTAACTGAGGCTTAAAATAATTACGAATTTGTTCTCGTCTTGACTTTAGAGCTGCTGTCAAAAGATTATTGTTGATAGAGAAAGGGTCCGGATGAAGGTAAATATCTTTCACCTGCAAGAAACTTTGTAAATATTTATTCCAACTTTCATAAAGTTCATTTTCGTACTTGTTCGTAAGATTTTAGTCCGTACTCTTTACCAATAGCATTCATGTCATCCATTATCAGAGTCTTAACTTCCGCATTATTGCACAAAACAGACAAAGTTCCCGGAATATTGTTCTGGACAGCCCATTCTATGAACAATTAATTGAATATTAATGTCGAAAGTTTTAAGATTTTGATCTTTTACCTTTTAAATTTTCAACTCTCGGGACGACAATAGCAATGATGCAACTCTTTAAATTATGAAAGAAAATGTAAAAAGTTTTCAGATGAAATCATATGCGAAAGGAATTTCAATTGAATGCAATAGAATGATGATTAAGTTGACATCATAAATACCTTCAAACTCTCTCCATATACGAACACTTGATAGACGTATGAAGATTTCTGATAAATTCCTTCAATCTTCTCAGGGATGATATCTGAATAGAGAAGAATTTATTTTCAATAAAAATGTCGATTTCAAAGCAATTTTAATATTTTTTATGGATGTTTACATTCTCCTTGACTCAGTTTGAAAATATGCTTCTTTCGATCAATGACTGAAAGTGTTCCATTAGAATTCCATTCACCAACGTCTCCGGTGTGAAGCCAACCACTGGCATCAAAAGCAGTTGCGGTACGTTCTGGCTCTTTAAAATACCTTTAAAATGAAAAATATTTTCTCAAACAAAATATTAAATTTCTTTGTCATTATTTTACCCTTTAAAGACCGAAGTTCCCTTGATGCAAATTTCTCCTTGATTGTTTGACATGAAATATCCCATTTCAGGAATATCAACTAACTATTCAAGATACAAAAGTCTTATTAAAAAAGAATGAAGGTGATTATTCAAATTCTCACCTTTATGCCACAACATGGTAAAGGAGGTCCAACCTGAAAGTGAAAATGAATGAAAGTGAAATTCAATATTTAAGTGACTTTGATTTAGAAAACTTACATGACCTGTGACGTGATCACCTAGAAAACAAATAAACAAGAATTAATTAACGATGCTTTGAAAATTTAAGAGAAGTTAAGTAATTACCTAAAACTGTTAAAGTGACTGGTGCAACAGCTTCGGTCATGCCAAATCCTTCGGCAACTAGAAAGATTATTTAAACAGTGAAGTTTCTAAATTAATTGTGTGACTTTCAAGTTAAGTACTTTGTTCGCTAGAGAATGTTTCTTGAAAGTTTTTATCTTGTAAAACATGTGTTGAGCATGAATAAATAAAGGTTTTAATTATGTTAAATTCACTCACCAATGCATCCTAAAGAACAACGAATGAAAGTCAACACATGACCAGCTAATGGTGCACTGAAAGAATTAAAATCCATTTAGAATGTTGATATGTTAAATATGTACAAATGGGAGTAATTAAATTCAGTCGAGTTACAAATTGTAAGCTTGTGATGGAATGTTTTATTCATCTTGAATAACTCTTAAATGAGAAATTTTTACTACTTTTTCAAGAGTACAGCTGGTGATAAATAAACAAACATAACTAACTAAACTACGAGACTATTTGTTTAAATAATTATGTACTCCGTCTCTCTAGTTTTAAATTAAATTTACCTTCCGACAACCATCAGACGAAGACGACCACCAAATGATTCTTGCACTCTCTTAAAAAGTAGAACGTCCCATAAACTATTCCTTCGTATAATAACTGAGAAAAAATGTAAATAAAAATTCAACAAAAGTTCTTTCTGATAGTCACAGAACATCTTACATCTCTTTAAATCCGCTTCTTTTGACTTGATTGCCATATGATAGAAAAATTTCTTAAACGGCGAACCATTTATATCAAGATGCATTTTATCGTATACTCTGTTAAGTAAACGCGGCACAGCAGGCATAATTGTAGGCTTTAAAGCTTTCAAATCATTTGCCAAATCCTAAATATTAGAAACATTGTAAACATCTTTTAATAATATTGAAGAAAATAAGATGAATGAAGTTTTACAGGAAACTTTACAGGAAATTTGAAAAGTTTTGTGATTCTAACATTTTTTTAAGCTAACTTACTTTAATATTTCCTGAGTAAAAACCAACCGAACCACCAGCATAGAATAAAGCGTTTTCGCACGTTCGCTCTAGCATATGTGACAGAGGAAGAAAGGATATCAAAACATCCCCAACTTGAGGTTTATGCTCTCCTTAACATGAAAATGATAAATAGAATAAATATTTAAATAAAGTACAAAATAAACTCGTTCTTTGTACTCATTTTTCTATGTTTCAATTTGAAGTTCTAAAATGTTTTCTTTACCTAATTGTAGGAAAACTGATGCTATGCATGCCATTACATTTCGATGAGATAGCATAACACCTGAGAGAAATCATAAATGGTTAAATTTGAAAATTCTTTCCTTAAATGGAGCAAATAAAAACCTTTCGGATTTCCTGTTGTACCAGAAGTGTAGCAACTGCAAAAATTGGTTTTAAAGTTTGAAACTAAAGAAGCATAAAGAAACATTAAAGTTACATTGTGCATAAATCTTCAGGGACTGGAGGCCGTTCGATGATATTTGATATCGATCCCAAATTTTCGACTTCATCAAAAGTGTAAACTTGAATCGCTGAATTTTTAATTCTCCTTAATGTGTCAGAATGAAGAGGGTTGATGACAATCAATTTACTCAACTTGGTTGGAAGCCAATCCAACAGTGAATTAACTTTCTTGTCATCCTCAACAATGACAACTCCAGTTCCAGTCTGGTTGATGATAAAACTACAAGATTGTGGACCCAGAGTATCACTTAACGGAACCAAAACTAAAATTTGTATATTTAAAAATAAACTATAAATTTCTAAGATGTAAACAAACATTAAAATGACCATAAATTTGATTTATGGTCATGAAGCATGTTTTTCGTAAGTATCTTCGTTTATTTTGATATTTTTCAAATGATCCCAATTTTACATCTGGGCTGGGATATCAAATGAAATTTTATCAAATATTCGAATTACCTAAATAGATATGAAAGTGAGAAGTTTTAATTTCCATAAATATTTGTCTACAATATTTAACCTTCGTTAATGTCTTGTTTATGAAAAATATGAGACATGCTTCATAAAATAAATCTGCGTTGTGGGTGATTAAATTCATAAATTCATAAAATAACTCAAATAAAAAAGTTTTACCCATTGATTGAGTGTAACATCCTTGTTCGCATAGAATCCATTCCGGACGATTGTGTGAGTAAAGGCAGATAAATGTATTCTTGCCTGGTGAAAGGCCTAAAGCTAGAAGACCAGAACCAAAATTTTTAGCTCTTAAAAGAGTTTCGTCGTACGTCATCCACTGGAGAAGAAAATTTGAAAAGTTTGAATTTTGATAACGAAGTTTCTTTACTTATTTGAATCTCACCTGATAAGGCGACGATAATGATTCACGCCATCCTAAACAAGGACCATTATTTGATGCATATGATCCATGGTTAAATGATTCGTAAAGCGTTTGAACTTCGTTTGTCAAAAAACTCATAAACTTTTCGTTCTTTGCATCTTTGTACAATTTAGAAACATGAATATGATCGGCACCCTTTTTAAAAGATATTATTGAAGAAAGCAATTAGATTTCCTTTTGATACTTAATTAAAACTCTTCACTTTGAATTTATTCAATGATATCTAACGAATTAATAAAATATTATTCTTTAGTAGTTAAATTGTATTGGTTCATTTAAAAACAAGTAAAAACATGTGCAATCAGACTTTTCGTTACTTGCAATGAAAATAAAATTAATTTATACAAAATGACCAATTTAACAAAACAAAATTAGCTCAGCGTGAAAAATATCACTGACATGTGTTTCCACTTAAACAACCTTGAGATATTTATTTAGAAACATTGCTCTTTGTAAACATGTGATTTGTTTTAATTGTGGTGTTTCATTTTTCAAAAACACGTCACTCATTTTCACTAACATTAGGCAATTTATGTACATCTCCAATGTTTTTCATATTGCCAATTCCTTTCATTATCGTCACTAAATTAGCTCGCCATTGATCTTCGAAATGGGAGAATATTTTAGTGACAATTCTCTCAAACTTTTCCTTTCTTTTTTTCTTTCATCAACGTCATTATTCCCATGACACTTACTCAAGATAAGCTTCATATTATGAAATTAATAAAATTATGCTGTGAAATTTAAGTTGAAATTATTTCAGCAATTTTCTTATAAATTAAGCATAGCTGAGCATAAATATTCAGGGAGGATAACCATCTGTACATAATAAACATTAATTAAATTCTTTGGAAATTTGTCCTTAAAAAGTATTCTTTGCCACGGCGCATAATTAATTAAAAATTGAAAGTTACCTTGAGGTTCTCACTTTGGTCTTTTAATAAAACTGGCGGTCTTACAGGCGCAGAACGCCTTGAGCAGCATGACATTTTTAGTTGAAATCCTATTATTTGTGATATTTACGTATGAAAGTGTCGCTTCTATTTTTAGGATTTCAAATGTTTTTATCTAAAAGTTTTTCGAATCTCTTCAAGTGATTACTTTATTTAAACAAAACAAAAAAAAAATTTCTTTTCATTCACTTTCTGTCACTTTTAATATTTATTTTTATTGATGCTTTTCTAAGCTTTCACACTCTGAAACTATGAAATTTCATGAAAAGACTGACGAAAAGTGTGAGCTCCAGAATATTCTCATAGAATTTTTTTAAAATAAATCTTCAACTTCGTTTGATATAATTTTTAAGAGACACCAGATGTACGTCGCGAAAGTAACTGAACAATAGTATTTTTCTGAGACTGATTTTACGATTTTAGTGCTGAAGTAGAATGAGAATCGAATTTTCACTCACTAGTTTTTGAGAGACAAATCAAAATTTAAAAATAGAAAATATGCATGCATGAAATGATGAAAATCAAGTGATGTGAGTAACATTCAAGCAGTGGTGGTGAGACGAGCTTAAGATGATGATGAGAGAGATGATTTATCCTGTGATCACTTTAAAAAGTTGTAATAAATCCTTTGTTTCTTTAACGTAAATTTATGACTTTCTCAACTTTCATTGTCTTAAACAAATGCGATGATACAATAACTATAAATAAGGACTTAACATAGTCCGCAATTGTTAAGCATTATTTATTAATTTATTCAAATTTGTATATTTGAATGAACCAAAACATGTAAATCTTTAATACAAACATTTTATCTAAAATAATCAGCATAAAGTACAATTTGGAAACACCAACCACAACAAAACATAGCAAACAAATTAATAAGAAAATAGAAAGAAAAGTAAAATTTTTCTTAGTCGCGACAGGAAATTAATCACCGTCTTATAGCAAGTATTTAACATTCTTTTAAAGCAAAAAGATTTGTCTTTTATTTGTCATCATCAGTTCCAAACAAATGTGTTGACTATTATGAAAGAAATAAAATCGTTTAATATTTGTTGCTACACAAAAATGAAAATCTTTAAGCATTAATCTAATGAAAAGAATTTCTAGTTTATGTTGTAAAAAGAATTTTCGTTTTCCACATTTATATTTATCTAAAAATAAGAATTTTCAATGTTTTGTTGAACGAGGTAAGTTCGATGGATTTATGAAACCACTCAAATCAATGTTCTGTGACTTTTATGTAGCTAAAAAATCTTCTTCCATCAAAGCTTTTGTTCGATGTGTGTAAACAAAAACAGGAAATATGATAAAAGTGCAATGATAACAAAATAGAGAAATTTAAAAAATCTTTTGAAGCAAACTTCCTTTCAATAAAAATTTGATCTCTGAAACGACATTTTATATTTACTCAATTCTGAACAGAAATGTCGTTTTTGTTGTGCTCTAAAATCATGCAATTTGGTCTTTCATTTGTGTTTTGAATTTCCTTTTCTTTGAGTCAATTCATGTACTTTCAACTTTCCCTTCATGTTATCAATTTTTTTCAATATTTTACAAAGTTATATTCCGGAAAATTTCCATCTTTCAATGCTTAGATAGTTTTTATATTCTAAAATATATCATAAACATTCAGCTGAACTGCACACAACACATAAAATTTTATCAAAACCAGATTTTTATGCTGAAAGTTGCACAATGAATATATCTTCCAGGAGCTGATGCCAAAAACTAATATGTAAATTATAAAAATAAATTTAAGAGCATCTGCTACTCATAAATTGTTCTTCAGAACCATGAAGCGACCAAGTTTCAGATCTACTTATTTGCATAAAGCAAATTTTGCTTTCCAAACATAATTTTCCCTCTTTCACTCTTTCATGCAGTCTTTGAAAGTGTTTCTGTAACAAGAGATCCTCAACTCTCTTCGAAAAAACAAAAACTCTTTAATAACGATATTAATTCAATGTAGTTAAATTTTTTATCAAACCTGACCAGTGGATGAAATTTTATATTCATGAAATTAAAACCAATGTACATAAAAGAGAAGCATAATTAATGTTTGAAACATTGTCTAAATGTGTGGTGAATAGATGAATGAAAGTTGAAACATGATTGAAATTTAATAATTAGCTATGTACAAAGGGAAGTTAATTCGTTTATCATGAGTCATTATAACGCTTTAGAATGGATATAACATGCACATATGTACGTTATAATCAAATTTGCTTTATCTGCAAAATACATAATTTATGTTGCAATAATTCTGTTGGAAAATATTGAAGATGTTAAAGGAAACCAACGAAATTCAGATCACGTAAAATTTATTCGGAACAGTCTCCACTTAAATTTAATTTTCCATTAATTCCTAGAAGCCCATCTCAACCCCATGCTCATGAAACTTTTATGAAAATTGGCACGAAAAAATTTAAACACTTTTCTATTTTCTCCCCTCTATCTAAATATTTCGTGTTCATCACAGCTCGCAGCTTAATTTTACATCAAACAGTTTTTTGCTATCTCCATTTTCGTTTCAAGTGTGAATTTTCAACCATATTCGTGCATGCCATGAAATAGCTCTATTAAAAGTGTAAACAAATTAAGGAAAATGGTTTCACATTATAATGAGTTAGATGAGAATGTAAATATTGATGTCTATTAATATGTATGTAAATTTCCTCCCTTTCATCATTTACAATTATGATTCTTAGTGGAAAGAAATATTACGTAAATGTATGTAGATTTATGTCCTGGGGTTTTGAAAAGCTGATCTTTAAATAATCTTACATTAAAATGTTTAATAATTCTGCAAATTCATTGCGTCGATTTTCAAAAAATAGAAATTCTATTTCTGTTCCTAAATAAACATCTAAATGCTTTACAACCCAATAAGTTAGGATAATTTGTATTCGCTTGATGAAGGTATTGAGGAAAAGGTTTTCATTCTGTGTAGCTATGCAATCGATTCGAAAACATTTCCAAAACAAACTTTCATTTATTCATCCATCGGTGAAAGGTTCCGGAAAGCAATTAATTGAAATATCAGTACTTACACTCAATGAAAAAGATTGATGGCTCGCTTTATCGCTTCAATTTAATCTCCTGTATTCTACTCAATCTGTACCAGAATGTTCATTGTCGTAACAAGTTGATAAGACATTGTTTTGTTTAAGTCTCTCTGACACGAGGTGAAAGTGAATAATTCTGAGAATATTGTTAACAAATTGATTGCGATAAGAAACAACAACTTTGTGTTCAGATAATAATTTACCTTTAAAATTTATGGTTCTGATTAGTTCTCATTATCGAATTCCGCATATTTAATCCACTTAATTGAAAAATTTCAACTGTTCAAAAACTTTTGATAATTTATCATATTTTGTTGTAAAAAGTTTTCACGTGACGAATATCAGTCACATCTTTATCATTTTATTACCTAGATAATAATTTTATAACACGGATAACATGAAAGGAATTCTTTTTCATGTAATAAATCAAAATGACAGCGAATTGCTTTGTGCTTGTCGAAAGTTTGAGCCTTCATCTATCTTGATATGACGGTTAAGTGAATTTTATTTATTATGTATGAAGATAGAACCATTCTTGAGAATTTTTCAAGACTTTTTGGAAAAAAACTGTAGTGTTCTTTGTAGAAAATTTAAAATTTAGATCAGAGTTTGAGAGTTTACATGATGATGACATTAAGCTTTGGCTGCCGAGATTTTTAAAGCTTCTTCTTTCACTTCTAAGAAAATTGAGCTTTCGAGAGCTTTCGTTACGAAGCCAATTCCAGTAATTATCATTCATTTATGTATTTCATATTATGAATAATAATACAACATGAATGGAAGGGCAGGTGCGCAGATTGACGATTAAGATATTATTATTAAGAAAATTTGGAGGATTTTTTCGTTCTAAAAGCTCAAACGTTCTAGCATCATGAAGATGCTCACAAAGAATTTCAAATATCTACAAACATTAAATAAAGTGTTCTCGTTTAAGTGAAGTGAGTCTTAAAAACGACTCGTGCTTATGAGTAAAAAATTTAAAATATCTTCTATAAAATTGTTAACCATTCTTATGAGAGTAAATGAACAGAAATTCCTGATTTTACCTACAAAACAAAACGTGACCAGAATTTAAAGTAGACTTCGTAGAAAAGTATTGTGGAAATATTCAACATAGATTTCGAACATTTCGCAGTAATCATTGAATTTTTAATTGAAATTATTTTGAAACCAAAACAATTTCACTCACTAAAACATTAAATTTATTGTGAATTTCTAGATAATTTCTTCAGATTTAGATGTATTGTAATTAATCCAACAGAATGGTTTCTGCAAATATTTTCTCCAAATCTAAAAGTGTAAATCAATTGATGAATGAAATTTCTTATAATTTATTAATTCCTAGTCTATCCAATAGAACCGCCAAAGTATGGTGAGTGAAGGTTCATCAGATCACCCAAGGGAATCTGTCGGAAATTCAATCAGAAGCTCAATTGCCACAATGGCAAGTGTTATGTCAAAAGATAATAACAAACCGCATCCATGCTCTGTCGTAAATTCTTCTCCAAAATACGATTCTAATAATGAACAACAATTGAAAAGAGATCATCCGTTTGTTGTTGCAACTTGCAAATCAGGATGCGAATCTGATGATGGAAAATCTAAAACGCCTTCTAAAGCACACGTTTGCTCCATTGTGAGTTGTTTAGATGACTGCAAACATGGTGAGGAAAGATCTGAAACACGTTCTCGAAATCTTCTTAGACGTGTCGAAAGTTTCACAGCAGAACGCGAAAATACTCAACCTTGCACTGTTGAAAACTGTTTACCGGATTGTACTTCACACGAAGACATATCAGAACAACGTACAATAAAATTATGTTTATCAGACTGTGATAACGAAGTGTGCAGATCACATTTATGTACGGTTGAAAGTTGTTCAATTGGCTGCATTTCATGTTGTAATTCAAGAAGTCTTGAAAATGAAAATTTATATGAAAATTGCCCATCAGATTGTGAATCGCATGCTGATGAAATTGAATTTTCTAAGGTGGAAAATTGTTGTTCAAATGTTGAGAAATTCGTAGACGAATCTCATGCATGTACTGTAGAGATATGTCCATCAGACTGCAATACTGATACAGATAACATATCACGTAACTCTGAAGCAGAAACTCTCAATAAAAGAGGATTATATGAATGTAATGATGAAATGTGCTCCCCGAACAATGTCTCTAACATACCAACAACTGAGCTATGTACTGATGAAAATTGTACATTACAATGTGAATCTTTTGTAAACAAAACTGTTTCATTTTGCCCTTCTGATTGCATTTCCCACTCAAATTTTATAAAAGGTAAACACTTAAATTTATTTACTGCTTCAAAGGGATCTTAAAACATAAAATAATGAATTCGTCAGCAGAATGAACTTCTTCGGGTACATTTATGTAAAATATGCAATTCTCTTAACATGATTGCAAATTCAACAAAACATTTCGGTTCTTTGTTTTTCAACTGCTTTATTATACTGACTGTCAAAAATCGCCAATAAAATTATCCTTCAAGTCACAAATTGCGAAGTTTGCTTTAAATAATCAAATTTTGCTTTTCATTTTTTACAAAATGTTACCAAGAAAAGTTTTCATTTATTAATCACAGAAAGTTTGTTTGTTATGTATTTAGAAGGGTCTTGAAGCTTTCATTTTTTTCCTAGAAGCTTCACATGGAGTTTCTAAAAATTCTTGGAAGGATTTACAAACCTATTGAAAGATTAAATTGAAATTTAATTACTAAATAAAACAAATTCTTCTTGTTCTTAACATTTACTTTTGTTTCAGCGTTTTTTCTTGCAAAAACAGAATTGTAGTGGCAGGTACAAGATGTTCAATTTATTATTTATGCCTTCTCTGTAGATTTTACTTCCTAATGTTTATTTCCTAAGAGGAAGTTGTCTAACTTCTTTTCAAGTAAATTTGGAAGGAAAGTCGAGAAAACAATAAAATAAGATTTCCTTGTTTTTGCTTTTATTTCACCTACATACAATTATATGCTTATGCATGTATGTTCACTTCAGTCGGAATCAAACATATTGCTCCTCAGAGAGTTAATATTCATCTGCTATTCAAGATATAAAAGTACTTTTCGTTTTTTTTGCCTTAGTCAGAAATATTTATTAGAGGTTTCCTAGGTAGTGAACATTTTCTCCCCTTCCCAGGTTTAACAAATGTACAATTCGAAAATAATAATTTTAGATTGCTTTTCATGAAGATTCTTCTTTTTATTTGTTTCCTTTCGATTGTTCATCGATCTACTGATAGATAAAGTCATGTTTGCAAAATTACAAAACAAACACATGAAGTAAAGAGAAATTTTTTGGTCAGTCAGCATTTTTCTGTGGTACTATGAATGGAATTTAACTCAGTTTGGAGTTTTTTTAAAAGTTTCTGTGATCGGAAGCGAATTGTTATTACATTTTATGAACAAACATTCTCAATTACAAGGGGAAAGTTTATGACGTCAAACATTTCTACCGTGAAATTTAAAGTTATTAATCGAATTTAATTAATGTCCTCAGGCTTGTCCTCAGGTATTGTGCGAATCGAAAATAAAGCTTATTTAAAAATTCAAACGTAAATTTAGAGAACATTGAATAAGTTAAATAAATTCTATCACTGGAGATTTCAATAAAATTTTTCTGCCTACCTTGAAATTTATTTTGAAATCAAACAAATTCTCTGAAAATGTCATAAATTCACATAACAAGCTTTGAAAAACTTCAGCCAGGAGCCAAAACCTATTTTGATGTTTCTAATCCAAATTGTTGACCGAAGACATCATCGTTGTGTATCTTTTAGGCCTTCCGAAAGGATATCCGGACGCGGATTTTATCCGGATATCCTCGCTGTAAATTGACATCCACAGATCCGCGGATGTGACGAAGCATCCGGATTTTATCCGTGCCTACCTGTTTTCGGTTTGGGTGAATTTTCCTATAATTTTTAACGTTTTTTGTTTGAAATTTAAATTACAAAGTTCAAAAATTATAGAAAAATTGAACACCCTTTTTAATTTTCTTTATTCATATTCCCAGTTTGACCGTAGACTTGAAGAGTTTGGAATTGACAGTAAAAAAGATATCGTTACTGTGACTGGAGATGGTGCTGCAGTTATGGTTGCTTTTGGAAATAGATCCTGCTTCGAATACTTAACGTGCTTGAATCACACGATCCACCTGGCTGTTTTGGCTGCATTGTTCCCAAAGAAAACAAAAATAACTGTAGCAGTAGATGAAAACTCTGAAGAGAATTCTTTTATTTGTAAGCAACGCACTTCGCTTTCTTCTAAGCATGCTGATATGATGTCTTTCCTGAAAAGTTTTTTCATCAACAACAATGTTTGTTCATAAAAATAAAATATTTTCCATATGTAAAACANCAATCTGCAATAGCATCGGTAAGCATCATCTAACGATCTACGGTAAAAGCATAAAACCTGTGCTAAGTCTACGTAAAACCTGATGATGGACAACACGAAAACAAAGGTTGAAGTTATCATAAAATAATATTTAGTCAACGTTTACCCTTTAAAAGTTTACGTTTCTCATCAAAATATTTTCCTGTTCAAGTTTCATTTGGAGAATCGAATGACGACGTCATCATCCAACACGAAAAGAATTTATTAAGCTTTTTGGATGTGAAGAAGAAGGAAACGACATAAAAATGTCCTTTAGGGATTTGCAACCATTTTCCATCCTTTTGGTACTCCAGACGATTTTTCGAATTTAGGCAAAGGAAATGATTTTCATGTCAAAAACAAATGCAAAACATTTACAAAGTGGAAAGTTCTTCAACTCAACTGTTTGTTATTCATAGTTTTGAGATTTTCCCTTTTCGGGGCTCAACGAATTCTATTTAATGTTTGATATGATTTTTTACCAACACAATAAGAAATTGGTTTGAAAAGAGTCGAGAACAAGCACTCATATGAAGACTCTCGAAATTTTCAACTCTTAAACTTTTCCATTCCTTGAACATGGAAAAAGTTTTTTTTCTGTCATTTATCGACGACAGGCTTCGAAGTTTTCATGCATGTTTAGACAAACAAAACATTTTAGTCTGAAATGAATCCCTAGAAGTATCCCTAACGACATCAAGCTCGCCTCGATTCCTCGTTTCGGGATCAATTTTATTCAATTCCACCCACAACAAACAAGCAACAAAGGGTTTTCAGCATTTACAAACTTTCGTTTCTTTTATTTTTTATTTTTTTATCTCGTTACTTCTGTCCTAGATATTGATGCGAATAAGAAACCATTAGGAATAATCGAAACGATGATAAATTTATCTCATCTCATGTCCTTCCTACTTCGTCTCGTTCTTGAGTTGTGTGGGAGTTTGAAGAAAAGGAGAAGACGAAGAAGAAGCAGAAAAATATGAAAAGACAGAAAAAAGATCTCGTAAAGAGACATAATGATAATCTCGGGTAGAAAAGTCTTGATAAATTGTGTGCACATTACACAAACGACATTTGAATAATTTTCATTCTCTATGCAAGTGAAAACCGATGTTACTATGTAAATACTTAATCCAGCCTTCTCTAAGTCGTTGAATCATTCGCTTAAAGCATCTTCAATAGTAAGAAGAAAAACAAGGAACGTAGAACGCGGTCAACATCATTCTTGAGTTCTTGACAAGAAATCGCAGTTCTGTCTTCATCTTCTTGTTCAGTTCATTTGCTGATTCCTTACGTGACATTTCTATTCGGAAAAGCTTCATCTTCATCAGCGTCAGCAGCGGAATTATTTGGTATTCAGATTGCGATTGTTTAATGGAACAATCTGTCATTGTGTTCTCTCATTTATTACCTCAAAAGCATGTGACATTGAAATTTCTGGTTAAAGTAAAATATATCTAAGTAAGAAAACTTTCTGCCCTCTTCCATTCGCATTCATTCAGGATGTAATCACGAGAAATGGAGATTTTACGACTCTAATTTGAAAAGTTTGTCTGGGAACAATCAAAGAGAATCCAGAAATAATTTGAGAATTCACGAGCACTGCACGGCCAAGGAAACAACAACAGAAAAGTTTTTTTTGGTAACAAGCGAAGCATGAAAAATAAATGAGAATTGAGAACGAAGCTAATGTCGAAGAGCTTTGTCTCATTCATATTGGAATCAAGAAAGAAAAGCAATCGACCAGAAGGAAAAATGTTGAACAAAACTTAACTATGACGAGAACAACAAAAGCGACAAGAAATTAAGGAGATTTTGATGCGAAAGCACATCAGAGATGAATTGACATTCAAGCCGAGAACAAGCCATTCCAAAGCAAGCTTCTGATTTATGGGACGGGGATTTGCTGGCATTTATTGCCGAGCATTAACCGTATTCTATGCCAGATTTGCCCATTTACACCTCGTCGCTTTCAAATCTTCATCGTTCGTCGTGTTTTCATTATGTATGCTTAAAATGTAATAATTCAAGCCAAAAAGAAGAAAAAAAACGTGAAGGAAAAGTCGGATGTGTTATGTCGTTGTTTTTATTCTCTGCTTGACATTAAACATGCGAACTTTTATTACCTCTGTGTAAATTTTAAACTTTAAACATAAATTTTGAAGTACTTGAAAAACAATTTATTGTGGTGTTTATGAAGATATGTAGTTATTTGATGTGAAATAAATCTCATTGCTATATTCCCACATTTCAAAGTACAAATTCATATTTCATTCATGGTGCCGCCTGGAAAATTTGAATTTATTACTCGCATTTATGTGCAGCACGTATTGCCATTGTTTTGTGTCTTGTGCGAGAGACTTTTTCAACTGATTATGTCATTCATCTTTCATTTTAAAACATCTTTAAACAGACAAAAGATTTCAGAAGAATGGAAGACGCTTTCCGGATAAGCTTTCGCCTTCTTCCCGTCTGGTGATGTCCTGAATGAAAAAAATAAGAATAGACCAAGGGCAATGGAGAAAAAAATATAATAACGAACAGAAGATATATCTTTCCCCATTCATTTTCCGAAAATGAGGTACACTGATTCCAGATGATGATTCCCTGGAGCGATTGATGCATGAAGCAAATTAAAAGCAGTCAGCCATTCAGTCGACAGTATTTATACATGGCAAGGGATTTTTTTTTATCCTCTGGCAATACAAAATTTCTCTCAGTTATTAAAATATTATTTGTACTATGCACAAGAGGAATCTCAAGTGATTTTCATCATTACAAATTTTCCATTGAATATCAGAGAAAAGCTTTAAATACGATGACAACCATAACAAAATAAACAAGTGGAACCTTTTTTCTACTTTTCTATGTTTTAGCATTTCTAATTTGCTCGATTTTTTTCTTTTTTTCTGAAGAGATAAATATTATTATCCATTCACTTCAAAAGAAAACCTTCTGGGAAGATTTCTTTCCACTTTTCCTTTTGAGATTATTTGCAGAAAAGTTTCAAAGTTAAGAATAACTAGTCATAGATATACATACATGTGCCGGAATAAAATGGAGAGTAAAAGGATGAAAATAGCTTTTCTGATTTTTACCTTTACTACTTGTTTACTCAACTCAACTCAACAAGGAGTGTACCTTGAGGGAAAAAAGATTTTTTCCTTCTTCCTTCGGAGATAAGCAAATAGAAGCTTATCTAAACGAAGTGAAGAAAGAGATTTTTTACAAAGGCAAAAGGTACACTTTTAAACTAGTTTCGAGCTTTCAACTTTTGCCTTCCGCTCCACAACAAGTCTAAACGTATCAGGATTTTTTTTATCATAAACGAGAAAAGAATGATTTTAAAGAATGTGAACAAACGCCTTATAAACAGGTGAACTCTCACTCTTGATTTCATTGAATTTTGTCAGACTTATTTAAATATTGAAATTTACTTTCAAGGAAAAGTGAAACTTTTGTCGAAAAGTTTGAAACTCTCCATTCATTTCCTTAAGTAAATATTGTGAAGATCAATTTTTGAATTATTGATTAAAAGTTTTTAAACAAGATAATGGAGAACATTCTTTTGCTGATAATCAATTTCCAAAATACATCAGTAGCAATTAACAACTGAAATATTAATTAAAATTAAACACTCATTAAAGTTAGCTAACATCGGAATTATAAAAACTCCACAAATTTCACGTTTCATAAAATCGGATTCATTTGAATGAATTTTCAACTTATTAAGAACATTTTGAATAATTTCGATTGTTTTAAATAAGTCTCATGAATTTAATGAAGCGCGTAGAATTATTTAACCCTTTTTTCCATTCATAAAACTTTTATTAAGACAGAGTCATCATCATCATTATCATCAGAAGCGTTTCAGATAAACTTAGACTTTCTTCAACATGTTCCTACATTTAATTATCATTCATTGCATGTTGTTATGGTTCCATTCAAGATTTCTCCCATCTTATCTTTGACGGGGTCACGCGCTAGTCGTTACACAACAATCGTAAAAAATCTTAACTGGTTGGAAAAATATTATTTAAGCAAATAAAACCTTTTTCCGTTTCCGCCTTCCTTCCTTCGTGAAAATAATTAAAGATTCCCACTTCGAAATACCCAAAAGCTACTTTTGAGGTATGGAAGTTTTCATTGTCCCTAATGGGTTTTAATAGGACTTTCCGTCCGAATTAAAAAAGGCTTTCAACAATTATTTTGGTAGCGAGCAATGAAACGAAAATAATTAAAACATCCAAGAGAGAAATGATTGTGAATCAATTTTTTATGAAGCTTTAAAATTTCCATTTAGAAATAATTTTAAATCTGCTTTTTTCGGTTGTTATTTTAGGAAAATTATATGCTCGCATCTAAATTTGATATTCTTGTTGTTACAGAATAAAAATATGATGTTACTTGAAAGCAACACAAAGATAAAAATCAGAGCTGGTAGGAGGAATGGAATTTCTGAAAAGCATTATTTCCATGTTATCCGACAACGTTTACATGTATTCCGTGAAAGGAAAATGTTCATTTTTCTCATTTTTCCTACTTTTGCTTGCTTTTAAATATCATCAAAAGCGAAGAAAGAAATATGAAAGCGAATGGAATGGAAAGAGGAAGGAATCCAAGGAAACGAAAGCATAAAAGCTGTCTGAAAACTTGAGATAAGCGACGCAAAAAATAGCAAAGTAAAGAGAAGAGAAAATAAAGAAAAAATGCTTCGTTTAACAAAAATGCACTTTCATGTCGCGCTTGAGGCGAAAATAGACAGAATGTGTATCATTCTAGCTTGCTTCATGATGACACATTGAAAATATCTTTCACGGTATGAGCACAATTCTTAAATATCTTCGTTCTATATGAGGTGACATAAACTTTCTTCCCTAATAGATTTTTCTTCCTCAAACATCCTTTTTCCCTTTTCCGAGACTCATTGAATGAACTTTGTGAAACATTTTATCGTTAAAAGTGTTCAAAGCAGCAGAGTTGATATTGCAACATCGACTTTTCCTGCTAGCTTTAAAAAATTAAATTGAACCAACGACGATATGGCATCGATCGGATTCTCTCATTCTGATATCAAATAAAGAAGAGTGGAAAAGATTTCAACGACGTTCAATAAACAATTCAGAACTATAAATGCACTTTCTATATTCAAATTTCTGCTTTTATTTTCCAATATATTTCATTATTGAAATATTACGTCTGAAAATGACATCGCCGTTTCTATGGCATTTCTTTTTTACTCTTCTTTGCATGAATTTATTCCCGATTACTTTTAAATTTAGTAGAATTTTCCTTTTCAACTTTTCTTTAAATATTTTCTGTAGTCGCATTCATGAATCAAGTGAAGAAGAACTCCTCGAACTCCAAGCTTTCTCTAGAGACGCTCTTTCCAAATACTTTAATTTGGCTTTAGATACAAATTTTATTAAACTTTGATGAAAATCAATATTTGAGAATTTATGGCCCCACAGTGGCTATTAAAGAGTTTTTTACGCTATCAAATGTTAAAAGCTAAGGACAGAAATTACTTTTTGCTGCCGCTTTGGGCAAATCATGTTATAAAAATTTCTGGCATGTCTCATCTTCTATCAAAATCATTATTTTCTTTATTGCTCTAATCTATTTAATATGTTATAATTTTTTCTTCTTTCCTAAAGTGTTTTCTGTTATTGGATCAATTTTCCGACTATAAATATTTACTACAATTCATGAGACTGTGTGTGCTTATTTCAGAAATGTTTTCGGATGTTTCAACGTTTTATTTTTGAAAGAGTGGAGAAGCATCGAATAGCTTTCCACTTGAATTCCTCTGAATATGAACAACTCTGCCTTCATCTAAATTGTAATCAAAAGATATTGTGTGAAAAAAGGCATGGAGTGAAACGAAATCAGAAATTACCAATTTATAGCAATAATAATAAACATACGAAAATAGCTTGGAAGTTATGAACCAGAAACTTTTCTCACACATTCTAGCCATGAAAACCTCGAAGCTTTCATGAATCATCAGCAGCGAATAGAGAATGATAGTTTCAGTCATATCCGAGAAATAATGAGTTTAATCTCATCAGAGGGGTTTAACAGCTTCCTTTTCAGTATTCCCTATCGTACTTTCTATTCAACAGCTTCGAAGCTTCTATTTAGCGTGTGTCTAAGTATTTATATTTACTGTCGGAGAAAATTTACGACATGAAGCTACGAGATATCTCGTTTTGGTATGTTCATTCGTTGATAATAAGTACCATTTACTACTTCGAGTAAATATATAATAAAATGTGTAGCTAGGTAGAATAATTATGCAATATCTATTAATGTATGTGCACCGACATGATCATCCTTTGAAATGAAAGATAGTCCCAACATAATTCAACGTTCATCGGAAAATAAATCAAGTATCATACATAAATATGTGAATTTATACAGATTGAAGACAAAAGGGAAGATGAGAGAGAAAAAAGCACTTCGCAAATGAGTTTGCTGGAAATTCAGTTGAATCAAAAGAGGTGGGAGGGTGAAAGTCATTGTTTGAGCTTATGCCATGAACAATAGACAATCGCTGTTGTGTTTCATTATTGTCAGATAAACAAAAACACTCAAAAACAAAAATAATAAAAAAAAGGGAGGAAAATTATATAAAAACTCTCAGAAATGGGGAGGAAGTCTTCTGAATCCACACATCATCACTGTCTGCGCTTTCCTAGCGAGATATGAATTGTCATCAACTTTAATAATTAAACACACAACACATAAACATTATCATTTGATGTGAAAAGTGTCATAGAAATGTAAATATTTAGTGTGAGACATGGAAAGGTTTCCATATTTGTATATAAATAGCAGAGAGGAAACAAGTCAACACTTACCGCCTTCGTCTGTCATTACAACTACAGATGTTGCCGGTCCCAGTCCTTCAGGATTAAACACTTGAATGGAAATCAGATACTGTGTGTAAATCTCCAAGTCGTGAATCTCGTGACTCTGTAAGCGGGTGAATGAATAAGAAAAGAAAAGAAATTAAAATTATGAAAGTCATTTTCATATTTTCTTCATTTCTTCATCGTCAACTGGAAGGGGCACTTCACAAATTTTTAATGCTATCTTCGTCATTCTTTTATGCTAAGTGGTTATAAATAATGAACACAATAATGTACCCGGAAGCAAAAAGATTTTTTTGTCAGGAAGTCGTGGAGAATTAATCTACTCTTGAGATTACCGTAAAAATAAATTAAAAAAGCATCTTTTCTTTTTTCACTTCCACTGTTTCCTTTTTCCATCTCTTATCGTTTAGCGAAGACTACGGAAGTCAACTTAAAAACCTGCGGCAGCATATTTCTCATCGTCATTTGTTTATTTGTCCGTTCTCGAAATGGGGAAACGGTTAAAGAACGTTCGTTCTATAGATTCAACGATGGTAATGGGGAAACTATTCGTGAAACTTAAAATTTACAAGCTCTTTAAGCTTTTGAATTGAAGCAAAAATTTATTATTCAGACAGACAAGCAACCAGCTAGAATACGATGCTTGAAAGCTTTTGTATTGAAAATGTTTCCGCTAGAAGAATGAATGAATAAAAAAGAAGCATTTTCAGGACTGTCACTTAAAATTACACTCGAAAAAAATGTTTCCATTGCTTCCTTGAGGGCAAGAAAAAGGGTTGAAGAAGTGAATGCAATAAAGTTAAATGGAAGCAATCTCCTGAACATGCAATTACTTTTACCCCCAAAAACCAGTCACTTGAAGTATACGAAGCGCAAAATAAATGACAAATTTTTGGCTTCACTTCAATTTCATTTCAGAATCCGGAATAAGATGTTATTTAAGTGTGTAAGGAAGTTGAAGAAAAGAAATCATTGTTTGTCGTCGTATGACAAGGCTGAAAAAGCTTTGAAATTGATTATTTAAACTTCATACTGTGTCGTTGTCATTGGCATCACTAAGCTTTTATTTCTTTTTCTCAAAAAGTCGATAAACTTTGAAATTGAATGAGACGTTTATAAGACTTCCAATAACTTCTGTCGATTTTCGCAATCAAACGTCTTTAAAGCGTCGGTTTACAAAAATAAATTCTATTAAACGAGTTTACTTACTTCAACACTGCTCTCACGAATCAAAATCTCATTAATATTCTCCGGCTTCACGTCTCGAGCGCGATATGTTATGCGGTAACCGAGAAATTCGCCAAAGATCGTGTCGGATGGCGGAGGCTTCCATGATAAATAGATGGAATTGGACGACGTGTTATGCGCTATTGTCATCACTGGCTTTCCAACTGGCACTGTTGTTGAAGACATTTATCCATTGCATTTCAACCGTGACATAGTAAGACGATTATATGGCGAGAAAGTTTCAAGAGAAAGGAAGAAGAAGTCAAAAAACAATGAAGATTAAATTGAATAAACGAGCTTGTTATTGTTTGATGAAATTCTCAATTGTAAACTTTTCTCTTTTCCTCATTTTCCTTTGAGGGAGAAGCATAAAAAATGCTCCGATTCGTGTATTTACACAGAAAATTTCTTTTTCATGGGGAATCAAGAATTTATTTTATGAAAGTTTTTTTTCCTTACTTCCGTTTTCTTGTTCATTTCTAAATTATCTTTTTTTATTCTTTTTATTATTATCATTCCCTTGTTGATAAGGGAAGGGGAGAAAGTAGGGAAAAAATGTTTAACAAGAAGAATTCTCTTTGATTAGTATGCCTTTACGTTTTTTCTTTTATTCTTCAATCTTAAAAAGTATTGTCGTGGAGATGTTGAAGAAAAGTTATGTACATAAAAAAATTTGAATTGAAATTTCTTGAAGAGCGATCATTGTGAATGAATGGAAAGTTTATCTGAACGAACAAGCTTTACAGATAAGCGACGTTTACACAAAGAAGGGAAAGTTTGGCTTTTCTTTTGTTACTTTAAGAAATTTGTTAGAACTTCAGTGTCGCTCGTTAGTGTCAATAAGGTTGAAAAGGTTTATTTGTAACTGACAAACGGTGTATAATTTCGTTCACACAATGAAAACGACTTGCTATTTAGGGAAAATTAATATCTTCCGCTCTCTCCCAACACTTGTTATATTATTCAATGGCACTCACAGAAAATGAGAAATTTTCCCAATCAAAAACTTAAATTCCGACATAAATCTTAACTCTTATTCTCATTGTCGTTTTCATATTTTCTTCCATCACAATGATTTCGTCTCGCATTTGCATTTAATATCCGAGCTCTTGACTCATTGTGCATGTCTGTTAGATGTTCATTTTTCATCCCTTCCTTGATTCGAATTTTCCCTTCAAAGTATTATGCAAAATAGTTGGAGCTTTATGGAGTTTAAATTTGCAAGAAGTTTCCTCTTGAGAAAATTTGCTATTTCAACAAATCAAGGGATGACTATAAAAAAAAATGAAAATATTTAAGCGTATCGCTTCATTTTTGAACATCACCAATGAGTTGGGGTGAAGAAAGTAGGAAAAAAAAATATTAGAAATTTTATGTTAACAATTTTCTGTGTTTGAGTTGAAGAGTGAAAAATTCATTTCCTCGTTTAATGTATACGAGGATGTTAAAGAAGGAGAAATAAAAGTAAAAAAAAAATGAAAGAAAGTGAAGTCAAGTATGCGATAAGGCATAAGGAGCGAAAGAGCATAAAGTTATAACAATAAAATCAGTCGAGAGGGGTTGATGTCGAAATTTTCTGTGATAACGAATCATGAGCGTAAATCATACACAATTTCCTCGGTGCACGAGTAAACAAGATGATACGAAAAGACAACACAAGAGTTAAATACAAACCTTCTCGTAATGTTACAATGTAATAAGACTCTTTTGAAGGCAAACTTATTCCTAAACTATTAACAGCCAAGACACGGAAACTGTAAATCGTAAATGGTGATAGCCCCGTTATCTGATGAGATGTGTTGCTGGTGTTTGTATGAAGCTTCGACAGTTGGTCCCATTCACCGCTTTCACCAATCCTGGAAATTGAAAACAAAAAGACAATTAATTTTTGATCACACAATACTTTGATTTATGCAAATTAATTAAATCACACAAACAAAAATTTAATTTTGAACGGGGTAAAAAATGTATTCACGTTTGCTTCAATTGACAAAAACAAAAGCTTTTATAAGCGAGCGTTTTGAAAGGAATTTATTTTGAATAAGGAAGGCAAGTGAAATTTATGAGCTTTAATTTTTACGACGGTGCGGCGCCCGATAAATCAATTAGGGAAAAGTTTGACGATTACGTTATATATCCATGAACACGGCGAGGGAGTTCAAGCGGAAAATATTTCGAAGCAGATATTTCCGCAAGGGAAATATGTATCATTACTTCGTTACTGTTTTGTTGAAAAGGAAAAAACGAAATTGAGAGAAATGTGATTCAATATCAATACGAGTTAAAATGTTGTACGAATTGTGTAACTTTTGAATTACATTTCTCTTCATTTTCTGTGATTGAAAAACAAAAAAGATTTAGCAGAGAAAATCCCAAAGCAGATTATGAAATGTAATTCTTGATCCAGGATATTTGATTTTGGATGTATGCAAGATAAAAATTTATTACACAGATTTGTTTGTTCATAAAGTTTTAATGCATGAATGCTTTGTTATTGTTTTTGAAACCAAAGTCATATAAAGAGTAACTTATCATGTCATAATAATCTATTTAAAAGAAAATAGTTGAGAACATTTCTATAAAAACTTTTCAAACATGTTGTGCAATTATTTTTAAAAACACAAAGGAAAGCGGTGTGTGGAGTTGAGTCTGTTCAAGCTCTGAAATTGAACATGAACATGAACCTGCTTTCAAATGCATCCCAAGCACTTGCTTAGTACTACAAACTGAAAACCACTTTAGAAGTAATTAAAATCTCAATTCAGTAAAGGCACAAAATTATTTTATCATTTATCCTGAAACAAGTTTGAGTACAGAGAAAGTTATTCAGCATGGAAAGTTGCCTTTCATTGCATAGTTTTCTTTTTTATGCTCATGCTTAATGTTGCAAATCCTACCCGATTATGGTACTTATGCTGGTAAATTGTGAATTGCAATAAAACTTTGTCTACAGCTGACAATTTTTTATTAGGCGCCCGCTCTGTGATTATAAATGATGCATAACGTACCTGATTTCGAGAATGAAATTCGTGACTGGAGCATTTTTCGGATCTTGCACTTGTGCCCACGACAAATTTACCGACCTCGATGTGAAGCCGGTTATCATTGGACGACTAGGCGCTTCTGGGACATCTTGTACTAATAAATCTATCGGATGACTGGGATTATCGTTAATCCAACAAATATATTCGCCGCTATCAATCAACTTAACTGGATTGAAATGTAGACTAAAGTTTTTAGGATGTAATGACCTCTGAAAAAGTAAAAAACAAATTTAGAAAAACAGGAAAAAGGTTGAAACAGAAAATTTGTCTCATTTATTTATCGAACTATCTAATTATTTTAAATTCATAGGGACACGTTCCCAACATGTCTAAATATTGAAGAGGGCAGCCAATCAGATAAATGTTGATCTGAATGAACCTCCCTTTGACATTTGACATTCCTGATTGAATCTGTCAACTCACCCTTTGGTTCTGCTCCAATGGTCTTCCATTTATAAACTTTATTATTGTCTGACTAGATTTCCAGGTCAATTTTTCAATTTTCACAACAGATTTTTCACCAACGACACCAGCACAGGGCAATGTCAGATTCGTTCCAGCTCGAGCGACAACTTTTTTCACTGGTCGTTTATCAGATTCTGTGTTGTTGGCATGAAAGAAGAAATAAAATGTAAAAACGGTTATTTTTAGAGCTGGAGAATATTTGTTTATAAGCTTTTTGCAATGCCATGTTTTGATATCAATCTATGTGTCTCTTCAATTCTTCGTGGCCATAGACGAAGTGAAAAGTTTTTCGAGTTAATGCATCTCAACCAAAAGCGTTTTTATGTAGTAAAATTTTTATAGCATTCATGGAGATTTTTAATGACTTTTTTCTCGTCTCATGTGAATTCAAACACTAAATGGACGAACATGAAAAAAGAAAGAATGATTTCTCTAGATACTTCATACCCGTTTCTTGTACACAACATGTATGATTCATGGCTGAACTAATAAAACAGAATGTATAAAGAGCAGAGATTAAAAAGGGAAGGAAATGTTTTTCCTAGATGTTCAATTAGAAGAGTAAAAAATTCTTTTAATTAGAGTACATTTTCATTCAAATGTTTTAATGTCGAATTGTTGCTGCTTTTCAAAATGATTTCAACTTTTGAAATTTAATTACATCTAACTGTCTAAATAATTTTGTTTAACACGTCAAATTTGACAATTTAACAGTTGAGCTACTCAACATTATGAACAACTCGACAACCACTTGGCTCAACATCTCTCACGAAAGTATTTTATTTATCTAGTTATTTATGTTTCTTTCCCTTTTTTCCGTCTTGCTCGACTATTTGTTGAGAATTTTTGTCGCTCCCACTTGACATTTGCTTATTCGATTATTGCGCTCAATTAAACATCAAAAAAGATTTATTTCACAGCTTTTTTGCAATTTTTTATGTTTATTCAATAAAAATGTAATTTATCATGCTCTTCGACAAAGAGCGAACGAGACAGAGACAAAGATGATAATTCAAGCCCATTATCGCCCAAGCACTTCTTTCATGCTTCAGCTTTGAGTCATTTAATTTTCGAGCTACGAACATTAAGCAGAATTTATTGTGTCATCAATAAATAACGTGCAATTCGTGTTGTGATGGCTTTTTTCCATCTTCTTTACTTCCACTTGATCTTCTTCAGTTCAGAGATTTATCGATGAAATCATTTCTATGAGGGGGAATGGTGAGTTGGTGGATTAAGAGTGAAAAGGAGATTAAATTTCTCGCCCAAAAAGTTAATTAAATCATTGAAATTCAAGAAGAATTTTGTAATAAGCTCGCTTTCTTTGTTCAATTTCTCAGATATTCTTAAATAAAACAAAAAAAGGCGCCTGAAATATCGCATTAAAAATACAAGGGAAATACGATGAAAAAAGAAAAGAAAACTAATTGAAATAAAAGTTTAATTCTCAAAACTTCAGCTTCATCCAAATCGAAACGGCTTATAAATTAATTTAAATTTTATTCCGCTTCGCTCTGATTGCGATCACAATTTCTTTATTACCATCAACCTTTACCACGATACCTTTTCCGGAAAAAAGCCGAAGAAAATCCTGAGAATAAAAGTTAAATCAAAAATTGATAATGTTTCGGATGCTGCTCGAGCAGGTTGTGATTAAAATCTAAATGGGTTGCGTATAAGGAACTTTTCTTGAGATACCAAATTCTCGACAACCAAAATCACTCGTGGGTGAAAAATTGGAAAAAAATAGCAACGAAACTGATTGTTGCTGGAAATTTATTTTCCAATATATTTTACCTTACGTCGCTACCGCTTCCAAGAACAGAGATTAGACAGAAAAAAGGAAGATATATTTAAGCAGTAGATGCTTACGATTTTACCCTCTTTCTCAGGCTTTATCTCCTTATTTTACTTGACTGGTTATTTTCCTTATTTCTTCTCAACCCCCGACGACGACGACTTACCATGAGAATGAAATTCCCTTTGACTTTCTGCTTTCAACTGTAACGAATGTTAGGATCGGAAAAGCAAAAAAAATAGTGAAAATTCATCGAAGCAAAACGGATCTGCTTAAAATTTATTGGCTTTAACGATGTGGTGTGGTAAAAAGATTTGCGTAAGAAATTATAATTCACAACAACTGAATTTATGTTGGGAAGCAGAAGAAGAATTCGAATTGAACATTGTGAAATGTGAAATCGGTGGAAAAATTTAATTTTCCTTCCTCCGGCATGTTTTGGGTTTCAAAAGAAACCTTTTTCTTCTCGTCACTCAATTTTGTTTTTCTCCCATTCATTCACCATTGAACTGGCAGCAATGTAGATGAAATTGAGTTTGTGCGGGAGGCACAATTTCTGTTCTTTAAGCTTCTCTTTTTACAGGAATATAAGCGAACATACACAACTTCATGTTTAAGAAGAAGAAGGAAAAAATATGCTGGTGAAGCAAACAGCCTCTTTATTGACTTTTGTTTGCTGGTTTAAATGGAATCGTCAAATGAAAAAAAAATAAATTGGAGAAAGGATAAATGACACGAGTAAAAGAACAGCTTGCAGCAAAAGTTTTCGTTTATTTTCTTATCTTTCTTTTATGTTGGGTTAAATCTTTAATATTTCAGGGTGGCTATTGAAATGATTCGATGGATGTATCTAAACTTCTTTATTTTGTAGTTAAAACACGTAAATAAACTTTTTTGTTAGATACAAAATGAAAAATCATGATTTGCATTTATTTGGGAAACCTTAAACAAGATTTTCTTATAAAGAAAAGATTTGTAAACTCATTTCTAGTGAACTGTTTATTCTCTGCTTCATTAACTTAATAAATTACTGGTATTGTTTTCCAAATAGTTGCTAAACTCTTCAATATTGCTATCACTAAAATCGCCTATAAATCTTATCTCGTCTCATCATTCCTGGTCATCCCAACCCACAACATTCTTTTGTTGGTAATTGAGTGTAACTTTTTGAAATAACAAAACTAAATTGTATTTGTTCAATTAGTAAAGTGTACGAAAATAGTCTGACTTTTTCTGTTTCCCTTTTCTTATCTCGCAAGAGCATTCATTTAATGTTAAGATTTTCTGCCTATTTCCTCCCCTTTCAAGACTATTCACATTAATAATTGGAATTCTTTCTCGTATTAACCATCAATGTGGGAGTGCAAATGTTAAAGGTTTTATTTTATTTTTTTGCTTATTATTTTTCTTTAGACTTTCTCTAATTATCGACCATCTTTGTGTAATGGAAACTTTGATTGAACGATATCGACGTCACAAATAAGGGAAATTCCCCTTTTGAAATTGATCAATAAATGCAACTACATATTAGATTTTTATCAATGAACGTTCTCTCTGTCCTTTCTCATTATTTTCAACAATGTTTAACGGATGCAGACGGTAAGAACTTTTATGTGAAAATCCATTTCAATTAGCTCAGCAATCTCAGTTGGAATAGTTTTCTGTCTCTTTCTACAGCATAGTCAAATTGTGACGTTAAACTGCGCGCTACAATGATCTTTCACATTAAATTATCTACAATGCAATGTTAAAAATATGAAATTGCAACATAAAATGGATATGAAAGAGAAACATTTAAACGATATGTAGGATTAAGTCCCCTATATAGAAGCTCGTAAGATGAAGAGTGACAATGTCAGTAAGTAATCGGAAAATTGGATGTAAAGTGGATTTGTGTGGAGGCAAAAGGAACAAAGAAAAAAAATTCATTGCTGAGGCAGCGTTTAATGAAATATTGAACGATGCACATAATAATAAAAATTGATTCCATCTACGGTTATTGTCTTTGAGGGGACGACAAATGAAATGACAGACATGGAAGTTTCAAACAATGGCAAAAAACTGAAACGATTCATAAGTTAATGACACTAAAGGCCCTGATTTGAAATTCAAATTTCATTACGTAAATTTCTGGAAAAGATTTTTTTTTTTTGCTTTTACATCTTTCGCCCTTTAACTGTCAGACGAGAATACTTAGATTAGTAAAGAAGGGAAAATGACACAAATGGCCAATGAGAACAAAAAAAGAAGAATTTCAACGAGATCTATTTAATTAAATTAATTTGTGTTTCCGCTTCTATCCACTCTCAAACTTTTCCCATTTGTTTTCGATTTGTGACTCTTTTTGTAACACTGTTTCGCTAAATGCTTTCTCGTTTTCTTATTGATTAATCTGTTATGAGACACTTTTTATGTAGAAACTTATGCTTTTTCGACATATCTGACTATTAAGTTGTTCCGGTATGAATCCATTATAGTTTGTTATCTAATTAAGGTCAGAAAACTAATTACTTGCTATGACAGAGACAACGATGACGACAAATACAGAGGAAAAAACTTTCATGATAATTATGAATAATGATATCAAAGTTCATAGTGGAAATGTTAATTTAATCGTCCTTTTTTCTAGTATCTACCAGATTTCCGACGTCAAACTTGTTTTCATTCCTTTACAGTCACAACCTTCAACAAAAAGGGAATCTTGTTTGTCTCCACATAAATAGATATTTAACATGACGGTATTCATTGACAACATTACATTAGAGACCTCTTTACTGTAGTAGTCTAGCGCCGAAAACAAGAAACAAACATTAAAGTTGATGTCCTAGAAACAAAAATATTGTCCCTAAGCTTATGATGAGGAAAGCGATTTTCGAGATGGTAAAGAAGACAAAGAAGAAAAAATAAATTTTCGCTGATAAAAGTAAACACGAAAATTAAATAAATCATAAATGTTGTTTTATTTGCTTTCCATGCTTTCATATTTTTCCCAACAATGTTTTGTTTGCTGCTTCGCCCCCGTGTGTTTAACTTTGTCGCCAATAGGGTCTTTCAATAAGCGAAATGACTTTTATGTGTTTTAAAAGGCACTAAACTTGCTGTTCATCTCATAACTTCAAAATAAATTTCATATATAAATAAAAGGAAGGAATGGGAAAATCGAATAGCACAAAAAAAGCTAAAAACAACGGAAGAAAAACTTTCTCAACGAGATGAAGAAGAATTCTTATGTATGTGTCGCAAAAGCAAAAACTTTTTCATTTCTCGCCGACACATTTTCTTCTAGCAATTTTCTGACTTCCACTCACTCGAAGCATTAATAAGAAATCATTGCGTAGAACAGCTTCTCGCTCTAAATAGGACATCACCTTTAATGTTTCAACTTTTTCAAACTTCTGTCAAGTAAAGTTGTCACAGAAAAAAATGTTCATTAAATTTGGCTGTTTTTTGTTGCCACGGACAGATTTCACCAATGGCATCATATTTCTGGGGCTTTCATTTCTAAAAGTCATCAAACAAACAAAAAAAATTGTTTTAGTCTCTTTTGATGTTTAAACATAGGAGCAAAGCGTCTGGCATAGCATAGGATCGTTTTACGTTCGTTTAGAATTGTTGCCTTCCTCGTTCTTTGATGGTAGAAAAGCCCTTGAGGAACGGTTGGTGCAAAGCATGGCAATGCAAATGAAATCATATCACATTCAATACTTTAACCCTTACCAAGCGTTTTAACAGACTCGCATAGTAATCCACAGAGTAATAATCCGAAAATGCGAATAAGTAAATTCATTGTTGTTACCAATTCACATTAAATTAACATTCACGTTTGAGAAATTCTTGTGCGAGAGTAAAATTTTATTTTCACAACTCTCTTTATCGACATCTTCGCACTTTACAACTGGTTTTGTGGGTTTGCGGTGTGGTGCGTGAGTTGTCTTGAATGATAAGCAAATTTCTTTCCTTCTTTTCATTCACTAGACGAACCATGTACTTGAACATGTTCTTACTACATTATTTGGTGGCAGAAGAAATGTTATAATTTGTTACATAGAGTTCAGCATGAATTCTTAAAACTCATCTGCTTATTGATTCAGGCACAAACACAAAACATTTATTCAACCATTTTCCGCCCATAAAAGAAAATTCTCCGAATTCACAATACAAGAACTGTGCTTATAAATTATTTATGTTGTGATATCAAATATTTATGAAGCGCACGATGAAAAGACTTCACAATTTGTTTGCTTAAGTAACACAATATTCTTCAAATTAAAATTTTTTTCAAGTATTAATCTTTGAAAGAGCTTAAGAGTCGAGACACGTTTTTATTTACTACACACAGATTTCACAAATTATTTCCCTTCGTCAGTTTAACTAGCCATGAGCTGGTTTCGCGTGATTTACACGTGCGACGATTTATTTCGTCTTCCGTGAAAAAAAAAGTTAATTTTATTATAAAATTTTATTTTCACCCCGATTTCGGGTTTTCTCTTGTTTCCTGATTTATTTATTTTTTATTTTATTTTTTTTGGATCATAAACAAACTCGCGTAATCCAATTTCGATGGTGGAAAATTATAAACACTTCTCTTAACTGATATTTGAGATCTCCTTTAATTAAAAAAACATTTTTTCCATCCACTCTCCAATTTTTCGATTAAGCATTTTATAAATAAATGATCAGCCAGCATTCAATTGACTGTCACAATTTTTATTTCATTTAAATATTCATTGATTTTAAATCGAATTTTCGATATCTTTATCACTCCATAACAAATTACGTTGAAATTTATTAATTTCTCTGAAGTTCTTTAGAAATCTTTTTCCGATATTTAAATCACTTTTTTGTAATATTTCACACATGCACACAAGAATCTGAAGCGATGAACACGTTTGGAAAGGGTCCTTTCCGACTGACATCAAATACGAAACTGTCTGTGAAGCAAAAACAAAACTAACTCTCGCAATTCGTTGCACTTGACGATTCTTTTGTTGTATAAAGCGAGGGTTATTTCCCTACTTCCAGAAATTGTTGCACTTTTATCTTGTGGTGAGTGTGCGCTGTTTGAACTAAACAAATGTGAATGCAACTTGCCGGGTGATTTGATGTTGTTATGGGAATCATAACTGATGAAAGAATTATGTCCCTTCACTGTCGTTATTGTTATTGAGTTTGAAATGATTTAGAGAAAGTTTTTCATTAAAAAATTGAGAATTTCATATGAAAATAATTTAATGTAGATATTAAATTTGGTAGTAAATTCTATTCATGTAAAAAGTTTGTCGATTAAATGGACATATGCACCATTTGCAATGTATAGTTTGTGCAAATTAATGTGAAAAAACAATTTCTAATGCTCAATCGCACGAACTAAAATTACCCAAAGCATCCGATGACAACATGAAAGTTGGAAAACAAATTGAACAATGTTAACGGAAGCTTAAAGATTGTTAATGGAATTTTTGAAACGTTAAGTGAATGTAAATATTTTCCTATTTGTTGTATGTTTACGAACACATCATTTTTTAAGAACTTCTCAATTTAAAAAATGAAATGTAAAAAAAGAAAACTTGAAAACTGTCGGGTAGTGATGGAAATTTAATTTTTCAACGAATGGTCAATAAAAAGTTTGAACACAGATTGATTTTAATAGCTTTTAACGTTGTATTTACAAATTAACAATGTTTTGAAAATGTTTTAACAAATTTTTGCGGGTAATTTTCTTGCTTCCGGCAGCTGGTCCTTTGTTTTAATTCAACAAAAAATTGCGCAAATCAAAGTTTAATTCGAATTGGGTAGTGAAACCAAACAGTAGATAAATGAAAACATTTGCATAAATATGTTTGTCAAAGTGATTTTCACTTTGTGGCTTTTAGTTCTGTTTTAATCTGCCTACCTATTATGTCTCTAGCTTGATTGTTTATCTTTGTGAAAATTTTCTCACCTCAAGGATATGCATGGATCACTTTTCACATCATCAACTTTCTTCTGATTCGAAAGCTTTCTTATCAGATGCATTAGACAACAGGTTTTGGAACTTCTGGCAACTTTAATTTCGAAGTCTATACTAAGTAGGTTAATCTTGTTTTAAAATATTGCTAATGCATGCAGATGAATATTCAAAACATGTTTACTAAATGCTTAAACTAAATTCGTTTTAACTTCTTCAATGTTATTGGAAACATTTCTAATTAAACTTTTATCCAAACATATCAACTTAGTTAGATTTTAATTACAACTTCAATTTATAACAGCATTCACATGAAAATATCTAATTAAACCACTAAAGTGAAATATTTTTGTCGTGATTTGGGGGTAAAACAATGTCAGAACAAAATATTTAGAAAACGAGGATGGATTATGATGCTTAATGCTTTTAGGGCAGAGCAATGTTGTGATACGATACATAATAACGTTGTCGTAAAAAGAGTACGCAATAGAAGAAATAATGAAGAATTAATCCACACAAGCTTCGCAGGCACGCTGAGAAATGCTTTTCATGATGATAAAATTAAATCCTTCACATTCAGTGTGTTTCTTTGTATCATATTTCAATAAATTGTCACGCCTCAAAGATGAAAACATCATTATTTGTGAAATGTCTTCATTGCAATTTTCGCTCGTTTTATTTGAGATTTGTTGAAATCAATAAACTTGCTTTTCAATATGATGAAAATAAATTCTGACAAACCTCGTAAGCCTGAAAAGAGAGAAACAAAATCGATATGAAATGAAATAAAAAAGGAAGAAGATTCCATTTAAGTTGTTGAAAAGGAAAAGCACACGAGAGGTTTATTAGAAAGAAATCAAATATATTTCAAAAAGCGATAAAATGTAACGTAATATCTCAACGAAACCCTTTTATTATTATTTTTTCTCCCAAGTTGCTACGAAACCTTCTCAATTTTTTTCTTTCCACAATACAAAAACTTTTTTTTTTCTTAGAACAATGAAGAGAAAAACTTCACGAAAATGTGACGTGGCTAAATTTCTAAACCAAATTTTCTTGCGTGCCTTACGAGGTACTCATTCAACCCCCTAATATCAATGTTAAAGAGTGTCACCAGCCTGAAAGATAAAAAAATAACATTCCATCATGAAGAAATTCCCCATCGATATCAATCGAAGGGAAAAAATTTCTCGTGTCGATTTATTTCTTGCCACTTTTCCTTTCTTATTTTTCTTTCGATCGAAACATGATGAATAGATTTTTTTTCTTCCAATCCCTAGGGGAATTTTAAAAGGTGAATGAATTAATTGTTAACACTTCAGCGAACTTTCATCACATCAAGCCTTGCATGCCTCAGTGGCTTCGCCAAACAATTTCGCGAAAAGTGTTATTAAAGTCGTCTCATGACTCATGAATGAAAGGAATGAAAGGAAAGGCGTAAGTAGGGAACGTAAGCCTCAATGATTATTAGTGATAGAAAAGTTAAGAGACTTCTTACAAGTATGACTGAGTTATTATTATTCAGATCTTGATTTTATTCCATCAAAATTGCGGTTCAAATTTTAAAGAAATATTTCATTAAAAACTGTTTTAACAATTTCATTATAAATTCTCCCTTTTCTTACTTGAAATAATTTGAATCTGAAAATTTGGAATTCATGGCAATATTTTGTATCTATTAATAAATAAGAAGTTGTCAACGCGTTTGTCATATTTCGATTTGAATTTTGAAACAAGAATTAATGCGAAATATTTGGAAAACTTTCTTTTTCTTGTTCTTTGAGTTTTAATAACTTTCTCTGGTAGATGTTAACAATTTTGACATAAATCATTTTCATTGAACAGTCCACTTTACATTGAAAGAAGCTAAAGGATGTTAGTTGCACGTTTTCTAGCCAATCCACCCACACAAGATATCAAACATTTTCACGGAAGTCGGAAATTAAGTCGGTTGGATTGTGGGAAACGAAGGGAAGTTGCAAAATATTTCACATTTAAATTGATGAATTAATACAAATATATTGAATAAATTTTGAGTTTCTTTTTTAAATTGAACAAAAATGTCGACCCAAAAGTAATCGTTTACCGTTGGGCTCTATGACTGCCAATTCCAAGGCCTTTTCAAATCGAATCTCAACTTCAATTTGTCTCTGAAAATATTTTCTACTCAGGACATTCTTTAACTAATTTATCTAATTAAATTTGAAAAGATTTCTTTCAATTTCAGGAATTCTTTTTACTTTAGATTATTCAATTTATTTCTCCAACGAAACCGACACAAGAGGATTATTTTCTATGGAAGCAATATCTGAATAGAAGCAGTAAATAATTCCAGAATTTCGAAACAAGAATTTCTTAATTTAAACTTCTAACTAGGTAGCGTGAAACGGAAAGACAAAAGGAGCCGCAACCACTTACTATTGCGCTTTTATTCTTCTTTTTGGCTTGAATTATTACATTTTAAGCATACATAATGAAAACACGACGAACGATGAAGATTTGAAAGCGACGAGGTGTAAATGGGCAAATCTGGCATAGAATACGGTTAATGCTCGGCAATAAATGCCAGCAAATCCCCGTCCCATAAATCAGAAGCTTGCTTTGGAATGGCTTGTTCTCGGCTTGAATGTCAATTCATCTCTGATGTGCTTTCGCATCAAAATCTCCTTAATTTCTTGTCGCTTTTGTTGTTCTCGTCATAGTTAAGTTTTGTTCAACATTTTTCCTTCTGGTCGATTGCTTTTCTTTCTTGATTCCAATATGAATGAGACAAAGCTCTTCGACATTAGCTTCGTTCTCAATTCTCATTTATTTTTCATGCTTCGCTTGTTACCAAAAAAAACTTTTCTGTTGTTGTTTCCTTGGCCGTGCAGTGCTCGTGAATTCTCAAATTATTTCTGGATTCTCTTTGATTGTTCCCAGACAAACTTTTCAAATTAGAGTCGTAAAATCTCCATTTCTCGTGATTACATCCTGAATGAATGTGAATGGAAGAGGGCAGAAAGTTTTCTTACTTAGATATATTTTACTTTAACCAGAAATTTCAATGTCACATGCTTTTGAGGTAATAAATGAGAGAACACAATGACAGATTGTTCCATTAAACAATCGCAATCTGAATACCAAATAATTCCGCTGCTGACGCTGATGAAGATGAAGCTTTTCCGAATAGAAATGTCACGTAAGGAATCAGCAAATGAACTGAACAAGAAGATGAAGACAGAACTGCGATTTCTTGTCAAGAACTCAAGAATGATGTTGACCGCGTTCTACGTTCCTTGTTTTTCTTCTTACTATTGAAGATGCTTTAAGCGAATGATTCAACGACTTAGAGAAGGCTGGATTAAGTATTTACATAGTAACATCGGTTTTCACTTGCATAGAGAATGAAAATTATTCAAATGTCGTTTGTGTAATGTGCACACAATTTATCAAGACTTTTCTACCCGAGATTATCATTATGTCTCTTTACGAGATCTTTTTTCTGTCTTTTCATATTTTTCTGCTTCTTCTTCGTCTTCTCCTTTTCTTCAAACTCCCTCACAACTCAAGAACGAGACGAAGTAGGAAGGACATGAGAGGAGATAAATTTATCATCGTTTCGATTATTCCTAATGGTTTCTTATTCGCATCAATATCTAGGACAGAAGTAACGAGATAAAAAAATAAAAAATAAAAGAAACGAAAGTTTGGGAATGCTGGAAACCCTTTGTTGCTTGTTTGTTGTGGGTGGAATTGAATAAAATTGATCCCGAAACGAGGAATCGAGGCGAGCTTGATGTCGTTAGGGATACTTCTAGGGATTCATTTCAGACTAAAATGTTTTGTTTGTCTAAACATGCATGAAAACTTCGAAGCCTGTCGTCGATAAATGACAGAAAAAAAACTTTTTTCCATGTTCAAGGAATGGAAAAGTTTAAGAGTTGAAAATTTCGAGAGTCTTCATATGAGTGCTTGTTCTCGACTCTTTTCGAACCAATTTCTTATTGTGTTGGTAAAAAATCATATCAAACATTAAATAGAATTCGTTGAGCCCAGAAAAGGGAAAATCTCAAAAGTTTTGAATAACAAACAGTTGAGTTGAAGAACTTTCCACTTTGTAAATGTTTTGCATTTGTTTTTGACATGAAAATCATTTCCTTTGCCTAAATTCGAAAAATCGTCTGGAGTACCAAAAGGATGGAAAATGGTTGCAAATCCCTAAAGGACATTTTTATGTCGTTTCCTTCTTCTTCACATCCAAAAAGCTTAATAAATTCTTTTCGTGTTGGATGATGACGTCGTCATTCGATTCTCCAAATGAAACTTGAACAGGAAAATATTTTGATGAGAAACGTAAACTTTTAAAGGGTAAACGTTGACTAAATATTATTTTATGATAACTTCAACCTTTGTTTTCGTGTTGTCCATCATCAGGTTTTACGTAGACTTAGCACAGGTTTTATGCTTTTACCGTAGATCGTTAGATGATGCTTAGCGATGCCATTGCAGATTGCTTTGGAGAGCATTAAACTCGGGATTGTTATGACCTTTTTTCAACCGAAAGCACTTGAAGCTTTAAAGCCTTCTGAATGGGAATTACAAGTTGAAACAATGTTGAAGCATTTACTTGATACATTGCACACTAAAATGATTGTTTTGGTCGTCGCAGTGATTTCCTCCACTCTATGACGGCGGATACAATATTTTCTGATTATCCACGGGAACTCAAGTCGGTAAAGAAATTGATAAAACCGAACATAAACTTATTCGAGAGGCCACGAGAACATAAATATTTATGCTACTGAAAACTTAAATAAACATTAATCTGGGTAGTAGCAAAATCAGGAAAACTGGGAAAAATGCATCGGAAAATAAATGCAGAGGAAAATTTTTCTATTTGTTCGCTCTGCTAAAGTCGAAAGATTATCCGCTCATGCTTTATGGTGCTACATGGTAGTTCCTGATAATTGAAACACTGAGAGGAATACAAAGAATGCGAGTCTCTCGTTTTATTAAATATTTATTTAAAGAAAGGAAGAAGTGAAAATATATAAGTAAGGAATGCTTAACTTTGTATAAATATTCAATGTTTACGGTTGACTTAATAATTAAATTATTTAAGCAATTTACAAATAATTTATTGAAGTCGTCACATGTGAGAAATCTTGAAATTCTGATATAAAATAATCAATCTCGAGAACGTCATCTCATTCAATTTTAACATCTCATGACATTATTTATTCAGTAAACATTATGTAACATTCATAATGCTTCATATTAATACATACATCTGGGTGTGCATAAAATATACGAATTACTTTTCCTCAAACATTATGTCGAAGTTATAACATTGACGTTGAAGAGATGGTTGAAACATGTTTATTCTCATCTAGTGTAATAAAAACTCACTTAACACAGCATTTCAGTACTTAATTTGAGTTTTTCTTTTCACTTCAAATGTTGACATTTGTTATGAAGCGATTTTAAGTTTTTCACTTCCCTGTCAACAAATTCTCTGTGAAAGTTTCTACAAAATGAATAGCAATCTAATCAATTTCCTTGAAGATGTAATATTAATGAAGTAACAGATGGATCTTTTTCCATTATTATTAGTGAAAGTCTGAATGTAATTACAGATTCCTCTTTCAAGCATTTTTTGAGCCTTGACAATCCTTGTCGACTGTCGAGATATGTGAATGAAAAATGGTGAAAAAAACTCATGAAAATTACATTTTTCTACTCGTTTGATCGAATATATAAACTCACACATACAACGTTGAGAAGAGTGAATGAGAAAAAGTGGATGAAAGCTCTTTAGCATCAAAGAATAGGCCTTGAAGTATGAAACATTGTAATTAAAAAACCTCGGAATAAACCGCACAATATGAAATTTTTTTTATTCTCATGTGCTTGATTCGTATTCGGAAAGAACAGAAAAACACTTTTGGGGGTTTTTGGTTCGTTGACTATGAAATGTAGATGGGGATGGAAGTGAAAATAGGAATTGTGTTATTGAAATAACTTTTCCGCTTATGGAATTTTTCATTTGCGCTTTAGAGTCTAGACCATGTGAAAGAACTTTTATTTCTATTTGAGAACAAATATCAATATCGAACCCTTAAAAACAGAAATATTCGATGAAAATCATGAATTGGTAAACATTAGCGGTTGCTTTTATTTAAGTTTGTTCTTTAAAACTTTTAAAGCATTTGATTTGCAATGTGAATCATCGATTGAGTTCATGCAAGCTCCAAAAATGATTTTTTTTAGAAATTTCAACTTCAAATGGTTGATTTTGAGGTGGAATCAGATACCTTTGAACAGGTTCTGTTTCTATGCTCTGAATCTCTTTCGACTCATTTCTCCAATGAATATAGCTTTAGATATTGAATATTGAATATATTAGAAGAAAGGTAAATAAATTTTATTCCTCTTTGAAGCTTGTGTTTGCCACTCGATTATTTGCTTTTTGATCTCATGATAAATACGGAGAAAAAATTATTCAAAGCTTCGTCATCTGCTTTATGAGAGTTTTCACTGAATTATCAGATTATGATTTTAATTCTCATCAAATTAAAAGTTGGAATTTCCTATTCCTTATGATAGTCGTTGACATTTTCATGGATGAGAACAATTTGAAGAAACTTCTCTCAAACTTTCATCCTTTTGATCCCATTTGAGACTATAAAAATGTACATAATTTAAAAATCATAAACTAAGAGTTTTCAATTGTTTGAATATCTCACTTCAGAGATTTAATTTAATTTACTTAACTTAACCAATGGAACGTTTAATATGAGAAGGAATTGTCATTCTCATTCCGCAATGGTTTCATTGCAGATTTAAAATTTTGTAGTCATAAGATACTTATATAAGGCAAAAGTTTTAATTGGTTGAAATCTGTTCAGGAATTTTCAACATTTTATTTTGCTTTCTTAAGGAAGGAACTTTATGAAACAAATTTAATTTCCTGTTCGAAAGACTTCGGCAAGAAAATCTTTTTGTAATAAGATGTGTATGGTCGAAACTTTTTCTTTCCTCTGCTGCACGACGAAACATGTGACAAATTCCCAAACTTTCTTAAAATATTCTCGTCACATCTCATGCAGCTTATTCTACTCAGTGGTAAATTGAAGTTAAACCTTTTTTAAATGTTAAACAGCTTGGGATATTTTCAAATAATGAAAACTCAACCAACCAATAGATGTCGCTACTTTCGATGTGTTCAAAAAGGTTCAAAACATTACCATTCATATTTACCCGCCTTTGCTCAATTCCATACATTAATTCCATCCACATTCGTTCACCCTATTGCTTTTTTTGCTCAGTACGTAGCTCATTTGTTGTTGGTGCAGTGGTTTATTTTCATCTTGTAAGAAAAAAAAAAAGTTCTGGCTAAAAATCTCAATAAAAATCAATATCAATCTGCATAAAAACTGTTTCTGTGGAACAATAATTGTTGTAGTTAATAAATTAAAATGAAAAAAGTTTGGTTAATTATGTGAATAATATTTAAAAATGTAAAACATCATGATTCAAAGTTTGCATAAATCTTGGCATAAATTAAGGCTTTTTATAATTGCTGCCCACGTAAAAGTTGAAATTAAGTGAACAAATAGCTAAATCAATTACTTTCAAAGTGATTGATTCATTGAAACTATTAACATTAATCTGAACATTTCGCAACAATTTTGGTCAGTTTTGATGTGAAAAAAATAAAACGAAAAAAGTTTCTGTAGCAATTTTAACACAATGAGATTAAGTCTTTTTTTAAGCATAATGAAGAAAGGAAAAAATGCAGCAACAAAAAATTACTAACTTTGAATTTAAAGCTCCAATTTGATTTATTCGCAAGACTAAGTAGATAATTTTTTTGTTACGAAGAAATTGAAAACGCTCGGGGAAAAAAATCAAGAGAAAAAATATACAATAAAAAATCAAAGATGGAACTGTCGACTGTGGTCATAATGATAATCACAATAACTGTTTGTGTATCATCTCATCCACTCGACACAACAACTTCATCGCCTGATGACCCTAACAGAATTTTCTTTACTTTACCATCGTCTCCAATCAATCCAAGCAGCAGTAGCATTCCAAATGCTCCACCAAAATCGAACGTCAATGAAAATCGTCTCGAAATTACACTCAACATTGACGATACCAGTGATAAGGAAATAATCGATAATGATTTGGGTAAATATCACCGAATAACGATTAAAAAGCGCAGCATTTATTTTCTGATAAAATAATTGTAATTGAGTTCGGATCAATCAAATCTTTATTAGAAAATTATTGGAGATTTATGTTTGTACATAAATATATAAAAAACAATTCAAAGTTTTCTTCTTGCTTTACATTTTTCATACCGGAAAAAGAAGTTGCGTTGAATAAAATGTAAATAGGAATATTTATGTAGGTAGATACAGAAGAGAGAACAACAACAAAAAAAGGTGTTTGGTCAACAAAGCTGGAAGGTCATTGAGTATAGTGAGACAATATTTGTCCCTAGACATCAAACTTTTAGTTTAGGACAAACACATTTTACATGCAAATGGATTCTCATTAAGGATTATATTTTTATTTTAATTTCATTTCACAATAACAAACGAACGAACAAGCCCTCTTTATGACACCCTCGACTTATTTCATCGTTGACCGGGAAATAAACAGAAGTAAAGGTTCAGATAAAATTTGATAACGCACGTTCTGCAAAATATTTATAAATGCGTGACAGAAATTTCTAATCAGGTTTTGAAGACAATTGAGTCTGAATTGAGTGCGCAACAGTAATCTATCTGTTTGTTCTCTTTTCAAAGTCATTCATTTTAATTAATTTTAATTTCATGATGAATATAAAAAATGCTGTAGAAAGCTATGTAGATACATGGATGCTTATTTATTGTACTCGTCTCATGTGTTTAATGTTTACTATTGTCATGGTTCGATGAAGATTAAATGAGACAAAGATGAAGTGAAGAAATGCTAACTTTCCCGCTCAGCTGACATGTTGCAATTGACATGTCATCAAGCAAACACTAAGTAGAGATATTATGCAATCGTTTCTCTATTCTCTTTTTTATTGTGTTTCTTTCTGCGTTCGCCTTTTTTCCGTTTGTATGGATTTAAAAATAATCTCAACAACCAGTTCCAACTGTAATGTTTCGTATGAATCATTCTCCAATGCCATCAGCAGTGGCTTAACAGAATTTTTCTTTGCTGTTCTCTTTTTTTATATGTTCTGGCATTATAATTCTTATGCTCTACATTTGATATGTGAATTAATGCAAGAAGTTCTTCTATGTGAACATACATAACGTTAAAATGCTTGAAGATTTTCTCTCAAGATAAATAATGAAGAATGTTAAACTTTTCTAATGTTTTATTTAAGACTTACGTTAAACATTTTATTGTCGTGCTAAAAGCGGACAATTTTATCTTTGCCATGATACATATCAAGTGTGATTTAATTTCCAAATTTAATCATGAGTAGACATCATAATTTAATTGACAGTTTAATTTAAGGAGGTCATGGGTGATGAAATTTAATTTTCTGCTTGAATTATTTTCACATGTTAACGTTTCTGATTTTTCGGATACTTAAAAAAATATTTGGCGAAGAAAAAAAGTTTTCTTAGACAAGCAAAACTGTTGAAAATCTTATCTGGCTTTATTTAGTTTCATTATTAATCAATTTTTATGTAAATATTTACATATTTTACAAAATTTAGAGATGATTTTTTGGGCCAATCAATTGATTAGTTATATTACCTTCCGCTTCTTCAACATTGATTACGTTCAATTTATCTCGACTTATTCGCGCTTTATACTCATTTTCGAATCTTTTGTACAACAATCGCACAACTAGAAGAATATAAGATTGAACGGTAAACTCCAATATGATACACGTTCCTGAAGTAATCAACGTTGTTTTACTGCAAGCAATTATTACGTTCTTTACATCTTTAAGAAATTTTCTTAATATTTCCAAACTCATAATGCTTGGACTTATAAACATGGCAATCAATAGAACCAAAAACAACAAAATTCTCGCTAAAAAGAGAATTAAATTTAAAACTAAGAACTGATGAACTTTCCAATGATTTCTCTATGAATATAAATTAAAGTTTAAACTTGTTATTCATGTTGGAGAAAGATAAAAAAGATTTTTTTTCTCACTTTTTCAACACCTTCAATCATTCGATTTGAAATGTTTGCGAAAAATCCAAAAGTTGATGCTAAAAACAGGAAGAATATTAAAAGTCGTAGAAATGCTTCACCTCCTTGCCCTGGAAAAATTTTAATTTTAGTCTTCTCTTAAGAATCTTATTGATTGTTAAAATTTTTGTCGTACAATTGTGAATTGACAATACGAGTGGTAGAACGATAAAGAACACAGAAATGCTACAAAAAACTATAAAATTAAACCATCCAATGAGTAAGCCGCCAGTTTCCAACTCGTAAATTCCTAGAAACTTTTCAATTTTGCACATTTCTAGAGCAAGACTAACAATTGTAAGTCACGTTTTGATATTTTGGATTTTTCTTCGTTACTGACCAAGCGAAAGCTCAATTGATGGAATTATTGGACACTCAACTAAACACACCTTCAACTTTATTAGAATAATTAAAAACTTCCAGTGAGGTCGATGGAATTTTGTCCCAGAATATCTCACACGTTCATTTAGGGAGTTCTTAGTTGATTATTGTTGACATTGATGTGTGTGCTTCGTCTAAAGCTTTGTTTAGTGTTTCTCTTCATTTGTTGCTAATTCGCGAGCGTTTTTTAAGACGACAATTTTTACTCTTCAAACGTTCAAAACGATAAATTTTAAATGTCATAACTCATAAGAAATTTTTGATAGATTAAAGAAAGCCTCGTTTCGTTTTCTAAACATTTTAATGAGTGTTTATCTTTAATGTGCTTGCCATAATGTTTTCTTCTTTTGCTCAATCTGTAAAGCGAAAGAATCGTTTTATGTAATTTCTTCTTATGACTCCAGAAATAGAACTTTTTTCACTTCTTCAAGCCGTCTTGCCTCTTGAATTGAGAAATTTGTGTCTATGAGAATGTGGAACTGAAATGTGGTAGCATTGTCGGTAATAAAATCAAGAATAAAACAATTTTAAGTAATTTAATGACTTTGAACAAAAAAAGGCCAAAAAGCAATAAAAGTCGAAATGAAAGAGAAAGAAATCTCAAACAATCGTTCATTATTGGTTGTTAAGTGTCAATTTAATTGACTTGAACGTCTTTTTATGTGTTTCGCAACCTAATTTTAAGCGCAAGCTATGACCATGAAATCTTCGCTTTTATTATGTTTTCTAGCAAGCTTAGAGACAGACGGAAACATCGAAATGAACAGAGACATTAAAATGTCTTTTAATATCCGCTCGTATTCTTTCTCTTTGCAGTTCCATCGCATCCACGCAACGTGACGGTACATGAAGTGACATCATCGACGATCAAAATCTCATGGCTCGAACCTGAAAAGCCAAATGGACCGAATCTCATTTATAGAATCTACTACACATCACTAAATCAGACTCATCTGGCAATGCCGAAAAACGATCCCGAAAATGGGATGCGAAGTGAAGCTGGAATTCATTATTACACATTAAAGAAATTAAGTGAGTTAAGTTTGTGATAATTTGTTGGCAAATGAATAAACTTTTTGTTTTGTTCTGTTAAATGATAATTTAGGACCATTCACTGAATATAAAATTGTCGTTGTCGCAATCACAACAAGACATGATGGAAATGGGTCAACTCCACTCATTCAACGAACTGATGTCGCTGCTCCATCACCACCTATCATCACAAATCTCGCTTGTCAAAAGGATGGAACGATCTTATTAAGATGGAAACGTCCTGCAATCTTTTTTAACACTATCGACTTTTATATTGTTAGTTATAAGTCGTCAAAGTGGGACTTTTACCGACAATTTCAAATAAATGCGTCAGCTGATCACATTGAGACTGAGGTTTGTTTATAATAACTCAATTAACGATCATGGGAATTTTCATTACGTTTCTTTGAATTCTTCTTTTACAGCTGAGAATTCCAAACTTAACCATGAACGAAATTTATGAAGTAAAAGTTCAAGCTGCTTCACTCAGTATTTTTAATCCCACAAAACTTCAGATTGGCGAATCAATGACACCTAAATCTGTAAGTTAAATGAATTATTATTGAATTGAAAGGTTTATTTGAATATTATTTGCTATTTAAGATCGATCTACAACCAAATTGTGAATACATTGAAGCTTCACAACGCAAAGGTTTCGCTCATCTGAATTATGATTTTGCGATCATCGCAACGATTGGCGTGAGCTGCTTTGGCTTGATAATTGTCGTTCTCGCAGTTGTTTTGTGGCGGTAAGTACATGCTCTTTTATGTTCGATGCACATGAATGAAGAAAAACCATTAAAGTGTCGTTGCGGTTTCGTTTTCTATATAAAATCAAAAATGATAACGAGGAAGGAAATTTTATTCTTTCTTTTTGCGGTCGATAAACCGAAATGACTTTATTTTTATTATCGCATCACATCAATTGAAGTCGTTGTGTAATCGACAGAATCGTTTTTTTCTTTTCTTTTACTCCACTTACACACAATTGCTATGAATGAGAAGGATTGTCATTACTTTGCTCATAAATGAAAATAAAACTCTAGGAAGGAATATTTTGTTGTTTCTATTTAAATTGTAGAGTGATATGGGAAAATGAACTTAATAAATATTAATAATAAATAAAAGGAAGAATCCAATTCACTTCAGAGAAGATTCAATTAAGACATTGAGTTGTGCAAGATCTTTGAGAGAGAAGAAAAGCGATAAAGCTTCTTCCTCTGATGTTATAAAAGTAATAAAATTTAAAAGTTTCCGCAAAATATTCATGACAAGGCCTCGTTAACGTCGAATCTTTAATGATGTGGCACTAAAAAAAGCAGAAACCGGAGAATAACTGCCAGCCAAGCCCTCCAATTCACGGTTTAAAACTTTTGCTTGTTTTCCTTTTCTTTTCATATTTTCAGTACTCATCGTTCGGAGCTCTTTCCAAGCTATCAAAGAAACTTAATTGCGCGACAACCGCTTGTGTTTTACTCAACGGAGAAGAGACAACAAAAAAATTTTCTTTTTCTTTCTTATTCTCCACCGAGCATGTGTTTATGTTTAGATGTAGGTGTGCTCGGTCTTCTCCCTTTTTGCGCGCCGTGCCGCGCTCAATTCTCTTTTATTTTTGCTCCGTTTATATTCGAGTCAGTTTGTATTTTGCTTTCTTACAAGTTAAAGCAACTAAGCGACTTCATGTTCGATAAAATTGTGAATTCGTGTGAAAAAATTAAAAATTAATTTTCTTATCGTTACTTTTGTCGTTCATTTAAAGAACCGATAAAAAAAGAAGTTTAAGAGGAAGAAAAACTTTCTTATCTGATAACAATTGAAACCACCAAACTATTGTCAACTTCCAGTGAGGTTTAATTAAGTTTCTAGAAATGTGAAATTATCAGGAAGCAAATTGCGCGTAATTTCTTCCTTCGCTTGAATGAATGAAAAAGTATCAAAAATAAAACAAAACGACGTCATCGCTCAGTTTAATTTCTTGTTTCTCTCTCTTCAATTTCCTCAATTGAGTGCAACGAGTGTTTTATGTCGCGGCTCTATGTTTATCATCTGATTGAAAAAAAGAAACAAGAATAGAAGAAAGAAAGCATGAGAAACGATTAAACTTTATGTAAATTAAATTGACATTTAAAGGAAAAAGTAATCAAGCTTCAAAGCTTTTAATAATTTTCCTATTGAAAGAAATCAAAAACTCGTTAAAATTTATTAATTAAAGAAAAATGAAGTCAAGGAAGAAGTTCATCGGCTTTATGTTCTAACGTTGTCGTCTAAATTTTCGGAAAAATCACTTCAAAGAAAAAAATATTCGAGCGCTTAAATTAAACAAAAAAGAAGCTTAAAAAAAAAGAAATAAAAGTTTACGATATTAGTTTTCAAGCGAGCCGAAAAGATATTGATTGAGCTCGTTGATGTTTTTTTTGTGTATGTGCTGGAGAATGTTCAAGGATAAAACTCGTTCTGAATTACGCTCGCGAGAAATAAATTCATATTCGTACTGATTGCTGAGACATTAGACGCGATTATTCTGTGCAAGTCGTCACCGCAACTTTACGAGTGTTGCTTTATTTTTATTTTTATTTGTGAAGAATAAATTGAACTGATCGCGCGTGTAAACACTTTGATGGTGCCGTCATCATGGCTCAAATGTTTCGTTCGGCATTCAAATCATTATTTCGTCCTTTTGAACCTTCCAGAAAATGCTTCCATTCGAACTACTACTATTTGGATGATCCTAATCAACCGAATGCGCCACCAAATGTTGACCTTGAAGCGCCCATCACCATTGCAGGTGAAACACGAAACGTCGTCCATGTAGAAGATTTTCCACGACATGTCACACAACTTCATGCTGACGGTGACATTGGATTTAGCAAGGAATACGAATTGATACAAAACGAGTCAATTGTCGATGAACACAGTAGCGAACACTCACAACATTCCGACAATAAAGCAAAAAATCGATACTTAAACATCATCGCATGTAAGTACACGAGGGATAACAAAAGAGTTGTTAAATGTTTTTGATTTCAACTTGATTTGAAAAAATGTGAATTGAAGTTTGAATTTAAATCTTTTTTCATAAAAAATTAATTAAAAATTGTCAATTAACAGTAAATTGTACATTTAACATCTCTGCATTAATTCGTGTGACTCACCATTTCATGTTCGTGTACTTTAGTCATTTAAATCACACGATTTTTCGCTGCAGATTAATTTCCTTTTCCCACATTTTCACTTTCGGTTTTCATTCGTTTTTATTTCGTCCATATTTTAGATGACCATTCACGTGTACAATTGCGTAAAACGCCGGGGCAAAAGAAGGAAAATGATTACATTAACGCTAACTTTATTGATGGCTACCGGCAATCGAGAGCATTCATCGGAACGCAAGGTCCATTGCCATGTACATTCGATTGTTTCTGGCGAATGATTTGGGAACAACGTGTTGCCATAATCGTAATGATAACTAATTTGGTTGAACGTGGAAGACGAAAATGCGACATGTACTGGCCAAAAGATGGAACTGAAACTTACGGTGTCATTCAAGTAAAGTTGGTGAAAGAAGAAGTCATGGCAACATACACAGTCAGAACTTTCCAAATTCGACATTTAAAATTGAAGAAGAAGAAACAATTTCCATCGGAGAAGTTCGTGTATCAATATCATTACACAAATTGGCCTGATCATGGCACGCCAGATCATCCACTTCCAGTGTTAGATTTCGTTAGAAAATCTTCAACAGCCAATCCACAAGATTCCGGTCCAATTGTAGTGCATTGTAGTGCTGGTGTAGGACGAACTGGAACTTATATTGTCCTCGATGCAATGTTGAAACAAATTGAACATCGGAAATTGCTCAATATCTTCGCTTTTCTTCGGCACATTCGGACGCAAAGAAATTTCTTAGTGCAAACAGAAGAACAATACATTTTTCTTCATGATGCACTTGTTGAAGCAATTGCAAGTTGCGAAACCAACTTGAATATAGATCAAATTGCTGCTCGTAGCATGGACGAAGAATATTTAAGCGAACAGTTTAAACTTATCACAAGTTTTGCTGCCAAAGAGATTCACATGACATCAGCGACAAAACAAGTCAATCAAGTGAAAAATCGGATGATTTTACCTTTGGAAGGAAGTCGAGCTCATTTAACACCGAAACCCGGAATGGACGGAACTGATTACATAAATGCCACTTGGTTGTTTGGCTTTCGACGATTGCGTGACTTTATTGTCACACAACATCCACTTTCGAATACAATAAAAGACTTCTGGCAGATGATTATGGATCACCAGGTGCAGACAATTGTCTGTTTATCGACAGTTGATGATGTGGTGAGTTTATTGATTCCTCAAATTGAAGAATTAACTTATAAATGTCTTTTCAATTTAGTCGTTCCTTCAGTTCTGGCCAAATGAAAATGAGACGATAGAAAATGAATATTATCGATTGCAATTGTCAACAGAAGGTGATGACGAGCAATATGATTATGTTATCAAACGTTTCAATATTCAATCGATACAAGATGGAACGGAAATGAATGTTCGAATGTTATACAATCCAAATTGGCCGAATTTAAATAACACAACATGCTTGTTTGATTTCCTAGTTAAGATGCATGAAAGATGCGATGGATATAAAAATGGACCGATTGTTGTAGTTGATAGGTGAGAATATTAATTAAATAATTTAAGTGATCAACTCATTTATTCATTCATTCAGATATGGGGGAGCTGAAGCATCAACTCTTTGTGTTGTGTCTTCATTGGCACATCAACTTGAATATGATAAAACAGCCAATATTTACATGTATACAAAACTTTACCACAACAAAAGGCCTGGAATTTGGTTATCGCCAGATAATATTTCAATGATTTACAAGATACTTGCGGCCTTTCCAAAAGGCTTTGAGCTGCTAAAGCACACTGCGTTGAAAACAGAATTTGACGATTCACTCGCTACAGCGACGCCTGATCTCTTCAGCAAAACGCCGGATTTGTACAGTAAAATTTGTAGCAATGGAAACATAAGCAATCATTTGTCGAATGGTAATGGAAATTCCGTGATTGTTAAGATGAAAAACGATGGTGAGAATGGCGATTTGTCGGTTGTTGTGACATCTGAAACGTCTGATAATTTAATGTTATCGAAATAAGTTTAAAAGTGTGTTAAAAGTTAGTGAACACTACGATCTCAAATGCTGGGTGAAGATTTTCTTTTTTAATTCTTCTTTTTATTTTTATGAACATTTTAAGTTCAAAACACGAGAATTTGAGAGTTGAGAAAATCCTTCTTAAGATAATCAATGCCAATATGCTATTTAAAAGAAATTATTTATAAGCCTAAAACAGTTCACTTCCCTTCAATGTGTGAATCTTCGAAGTGATCCTTAAAAGCCCAAATGAATTATGGTCGAGTCATTAATTTTATCATTATACAATCTTTAAATATGTTGCATGCTTTTGCACAATTTACAATGAAAACCTCTCTCATTCTTACTACATAAATACATGCACACATATAAAAGTATTTTTAATTTTTGACACTTCATTTCTTCATAATCTTCTTTTATTTTAAAATAGAAAGAAAATTAATTAATTAACGTTGAGAAACATTAAGAAAAATGAAAATACTCAAAGACTTTTTTTTCTACTTTGAAAAGCGAAAACATAAAAGAGGAAGAAAAAGTATCTAATTAATTAATAGTTTCCTTTAATTTGAGGTATTTCGAGTAGTTTCAGAAGAAAATTGCACAAGAAATATTAATGAACACGAAACTTTCAAACAGTATTTTGATACTTATCATCTAACTAATCAACATGAAATCGCGCTATTCATCAGAAGAAATTGACCGTCTTTAGACAGGTTTTCGATAAGATTAATTAACTGACAATGTGATAAATTATCAGATTGGATCGCATCCAAATCCGAATTTTCAACTCAACAACCAGCTGGCCAGATTTTCTCTAATGTAGAAAGAAAATCTTCTTTTTATTTAAAGTCTCTAACAACAGACAAAGTGCCAAAACAAGCTTCATTTACGATTTTCTTGTTTTCTTTTCTAATTTTTGTTTCAGAATAGATTTATTTTTCAAAAATATTCTTTATGAAACTAAAGAGAGGAAGAGAAGAGAAAGAAAATTTTAAGTGCTATAATTAATATTTATTAGAAATTCAAAAAGCGTTTTTCTTCAACGACTCGTAAATCCTTTTCATACGTTACTGGCGATGTTGTGATTTTAATTTTATTCTAATTTCTACAATTAAATTTTTATTTCCTTTAATTAGGTTTTGCATTAAGCAAAGCTTAGATAACAGATTAAAATGAAACAAAAAAAATGCAGTTTAATGTTTATTGGAATGCTGACAAAAACTCTTTTCAAATTAGCTAACAAATTGTAATTGGACAACTAAATAAGTAGCAAAGAATTCAAAATAGTTAAATATTATTCCATAAAAAATAATTCCAAATTTATCGTGAAAATTAGAAGCAAAAAAACTTCCCCACAAATTGATACAAACCTTCACATTTACATCAACATATTTGAACATGGGAAATTCCTACTAATCAATTAATGTAATTTCAAAATGCTTTATAAATTGTAAACGAAATCATTGCATCACATAATACAGAAGAATGAAAGTGACACAAAAGAATATTATTAAACTAAACGTAGATAAGAATTTATTATAAGAATTTGTAAATTAAATAACGATAAAGGATTGCATATTATTTATTTAAAAGTGAAAGTCAAGTTTTCTGTTGGTGCATGTGATGAATTGCAATTGGCTTTCTAGCTTTTAAAGAATCTCATTTGAGAATCTTAAATATTGCTTTGAACACAAATCAGAAAGAATTTTCAATGCCATTCCTGGCCATTCAAAACATCACAAATAATCTGACTGTAAGAAAATCTTTTTCCTTTATAAAGCCGTACTAATTTCATTAGCAAGTTTTCTACTTTAATTAAATAACTAAGCATGTTAAAGTACAATATTTAATGGAAACTTCTTTTTGTAAGTGAAAGAAAATTGCATTTAGATTTAACTTTAAGTTTCTTATTCGCTACGACTGTAAACAAATATGTATTTATAAGTAAGAAAAATAATTTTTTTCACCTTTCCACCAAGCAAGAAGAAATCGTGCATTTTTCAATTGAATTTATATTGATGAGACATGTTTATAAGATTTCATTTTACTTCCAAAGCTCTAGATAGCATTGATTTGTAAAACTTTAAAGTCAGAGATTGTGAACATCGTCAACAAAAATTTATATAATGAAACAGACTAAAACAAAAACAAGAATATCTAATAAGAAATTTATTAAATGTAGGAAAAAATAAAAGAAAAGCATTTTGCAATGTAAGGTGAACGTAATAAAGAAGGAACGAACATTTGATGAAAAAGCTAAAATATTGTATTTTTCTATTACTTTATTTTATTTGACTAGCGATTTGACGAAATGTATAATTATTGACGAACAACCAAAATGGTAAGGAAACGCAGTTTTTGATGTTTGCTGGATAGGAAATGAGCCCTGAAAACGGTGCGAAATTGAACTTGTCACTGAATACAATAACAGCGTGTTTTCGATTGAACAGTGTTATAAAAACTAACATGAGGCCGACAATGATCTTTATACCATAGTTGATTCCATGATTGATGAGAAAGTTCTTCAGTACGTCACTTTCATTTGAATCTTTAATTTGAATGTCAATCTTGCAAATCTTTCTTTCAATTTTAACAAACTCTGTATATTGTTCTTTCATAGGCGTACGTTCAAGCTGTGCTTTTAATTTTGATCTTTCCTGCTTCAATTCCTTAACTTTCTGTGAATCTTGTGAAATGAAATTCAGAATCTGAAATTCGAAAAATTATTCAAATTAACTCTTTAAACATGAAGTTTAATAATTTACCGGTTGTGTTAGATGTTTGTGGAATGCCATGAGAAAAGACAAGATGCTTATAACAAATAATAGATACATATTTAGAATAATTTTATCACTTTTCTTATATTTGTTGACAAATTTAATTTTCACTTGATCTACCAATAATGATGACATGCCCCGTTTAAAGTTTCCATATGACAGTCGGGCATAAGAAAGTTTCAGATGTACCTAGAAATATAGACAGCTAACTTTAAGTTCTGCTAAAAGTAAGGTCTATAAGAAAATAACAAAATTGAAATTTTTACATATTTAAAGAGTTGAATCTATTTCCTTTGTAGCTTTAGTAAGTTAACTGTAAACCTTACTAATATTGTAGATACATAATTATGAATTAATCAGATTTCTAAACGTCAAGGTATTAAAAAAAAATGAGTGTTACATTATTGAAAATAAATTAGTGAAAAACTTTCAAAAATTATCTTAAAAACAAGATTTTCTCACCCAAATTCAATATCAAATGAAATAATTCAAATAAATCAAATAATTTTATTTGGATATTGATAATTTTGGTAGAAAAATCTAGAAACAACAATATGGAGAGTGAGAAGTCCTCTAACCAAGATGAAAGTGTGGGTAAAGAAGAAGAAATTGAAAATTCAGACGAAAATGAAAGCATACCATCTTGTCCTTACAAAAAAATCAAATTGGATGATACTTTTGACAATGGAAGTGCCGAAACCGTCACTGCAATTGAGGGTCTTAAAGACAATAGCTCATGTGGTGACAATGGAGGCATTCAACATGACACAAATATGGAATGTGAAATTTTAGATGAGAATGGGGAAGGAGAATCAGAAAATGGTAAAAAGCCACTGACCTCCCTGGTTAAATCTATATTTAAGTTGAATTTTCTTTTAATTATTTTTATTAGGAGGTTCTGATTCTGAAAATGGATTCGAATCTGATGGCGAAGAAAACTATGAAGAGATTGAGTCACTTCTCGATCAAGCCTTACCGGAAGAGCTGAAGAACAAGAAAAAGAATTATGAAGAGAGATTTAAGATTGTTATGGAAGGTAAATTCTCCTTAAATTTTCAATAATAAATAAATTTCTATTTTTTTTGGTTTTAGAGAAAGGCAAAAATCACTTTGAAGTTTTACCCGAAGGTTGGGTTCAAGTTACTCATGACAGTGGAATGCCTTTGTATTTACATCGTCATTCGAGAGTTTGTTCCTTATCTCGTCCTTATTTTTTGGGTCCGGGTTCTGTTCGTAAGCATGAGATTCCTATCAGTTCCATTCCCTGTTTAAACTACCAAAGAGCTGTTGAAAAAGAAAAAGAAATGATTGAACAGCAGCGACTACTTAAAGAGCAACAAGAGAAAGAAACAGCAAGACTGGAAGCAGAGGCTACTCAAGTTCCAAGTGGTCTCAGTGCTATGCTTAATCTCAATAATAAATCGATTGATCCATCGCTACTTAAAAGTCTTCTTCCTCCAATCCCAAATGCAAAAGTCGAAACTGTGTCGGAAAATCTCAAAACTCATTCTTTGACACCTAATCAGTTCACTGAATATTGCAAGAAAAAGTTTCATTTTAAAACTATTCGAGTCATGAGATTTAAGTCTTGGTCAGCACGAAGGAAATTCACCA